CTTATTATTTTAAAAGAGTTGACTGCACTTCTGTTTACCATTATCTATTCACATTTTCTGGTCAACATTGAATTGGTGATGGGGCAGGGTAAGTGTAGATTGATGGTTATAGGGTTTTTTCTGTTAATATTTGAAGACTGAAATAATTTCATGCCTTTGAGGACAACTGTGAACTGAAAACATCACTTAACAAGTGAATTGGCACTGTTTCAAACTGAACTTCCTCTCAATTTCTTGTAAGTTGTCAAATGTTGGCGCAATTTTGGGGGGTTCAATTTGAAAGGACCACATCCAACCTAAACCCTAACTACTCCAAAAAGTAGGCGCATGAAATTAGGAAGTTTCACATCGCAGTTGTGTAAAGACAGCTAAGAAATGTAAAAAAAGCATGAAGCACAGCAAAGTTTTTGTTTTGCTTAATATAAACCTATTGCTTTTTTTCCATTCTCTTTGCCGTCGCCATCATGTAAAATGTTAAAACTACTTTAATATACATCCTAGCCAACAGGATTGTACATGCACACAAAATGTACTCAATGTTTCAGTATAATTCTGCCATTAAGAAAATTAATTTGTTTCGGTGTATGCAGCATAGCATTCATGTCAGAAACCTTACCCTATTTCAAATACCTTTAATTTATATGTGTGATTTCCCCAACGCTATTTCAGATCTGAATTATTGTTCTACATGTATTTACCTAAGAGAAGAATGGTAAACAAAATGACCAAATCTAGACACTAATTCCATTCAAGCATCAAATCAGAAGGAATTAATGAATAAAATTTCAGACCATAGGGGTTCAGTAACCATACCATTTGGTATCACTCGTAAGTATAATAATTATATAATAGAGTACCCCTCCCCCCCCCCACCTCTTCTGGTTTTGAATCATCATCAATTTTTGAAACATTTCTCTTCTCTTTATATTTTCACCAAAACACATCGCATTCAGCAATCTCTTTCAAGAAATAACTATGGCCAAACCTCCCATAGGGCAAAACCACAAACCACAGGGTTCTCTTCCTAGAAGAACTCTGCTGACACTAAAAGTTCTATGTACACTCTTAGTACTGCAGTATATACATGTAATGTAATAGCAAACATTACAGATCAAACCATGCATCAAGTGGGTACTTAAAAGAGACCTTGGCAAGTACAGTCTGAATTCTTTCTTCTCATGTACAGTACATTTGTAAAATTATAGTAAGATGATAACAAGAGATGTAAGAGGGGATCATCAGGACCGGGCTTTCACTAAGGTACAAGCAGGGAATCAAACTGTGAAAAAAACTTCTGTCGTTTTTTTTCTTTTGTTTCCTGAGGGGGACATTGGGCTACACAGTATTAAATGGTATCATACTTAGTGTTTTGAAACAGTATTTTGTTAATTTAAATTTTTGTGTATTGTAGTATCATCTAGCCCTGCGATATGCAATTTTTTCATCCTTTTGGCTGTCATATTCATTAAAAGAAGATCCTTAACTGTATTATGGTACCATTTATTTGGCTCTCCTGTCTAAAACGGGTCAACACAATAATTATGTGCAACACAAAACACAGTAAGCTATTCTAAACAATAAAAGTTACTATTTTTTTTTGAAGTCTTCAGACATAATGGTGTATGATTACACTATTAATCTCCAATGGAATAATTCCATTCCAACAATTATTGTTGTGGCGTCCAATGACTGGGCTTTTCAATCTGTGTACCAATAAATTCAATGTCTTCTCATGTTTTCTAACAATCGCCTAAGGTTGATTTCTGGTGCATACATGCTTGAGATAAATGTATAAGTTACAGGTCAAAATTAAATTGAGGTTAAATTTTATAACCTAGGTTGTCTTATCTTTGGTTTAAGATTTATTTTTTGTTTTTAAAAACTCATCATCATAAACCATACCCCCAAAAAATAGGAAACAAAAATACAATCAAAACTCTTTAGCTTGTATGTTTTGTTTTCCCAAAAGAGGTCTCAGGGGAATTTGACCCTTTGTTTTTTCAGAAATTATGCACACATATGCATGAGAATAATCAGAAATTTGAAAGAAACAGTTCTCTGAGTATTATCACATGACATACATTGGGAAAACAAAACATACAATCTAAAGACATCTACTGAACCACAACATATATACTGGATAATGATACAACTTTCAGTGAACTTTAACTAAGCATGACTGAAAATGCGGTATCTGCATTTCATTGATTTTTGAGTTGAAATTTTGGTATTTACCAATTTTTCTTACGGTATTAGGGTATTTGGTACCCCCATGTCCCTCTCTCCCCTTGAAAGTAGCTGGGCATCATGCTCACCATAGCTGGGAGAAATCTCTGGTCATCAGCCTTTAGTGACAACTATAATTTTGGTTGATCTGCACCGTTCTAAACCTCTTATTTTATTGGTCACCTTTAATCTGCACTTCCATTGTTTTCAGGGATAGGGGCATTGTTATGTCACAATCCCTACTGTTTTCTCAGCCAATCACAAACAATCTTTGAAATAGGTGCAGATCGGGAAAGGATGAACAACAGGAACAAAAAATTATGAATAAAAGAAAATCCTTTGAGAAAGTTGCTTATAACCACAGCACAAGATATTATCCGGTTTGTGCGGGTTTTTCTCCACCAACATGATTAGATATGCAAAATTTCAACAAGTGAATGTACTAAAAACAAAAGTACATGTACAAGTTAAATATTGTACATGTTTTCTATTCTCTGTCGCTACACTCATATTTCTGTTATAAGTGTTCAATACCGAAATTGAGCATGAGTCACAGAAAACGAAAGTATTCGTAAACCACTGAATACGGTTCAATACTGTAGACATTTATATTTATATTTACAAGGCGTAAAAATATAATCAAAGATTTTTTTCTTAAATAACGCCCGTTAATTTGCCAGGCCGAATAAAAAATGACGTATAGTACACAAAATGCTTATTCATTCGGAGTCGTCTTTCTTCAAACACATTACAAACGTGACAGGGTTGACTGTGGCAGCCGTTGTCAGTCGTTGTCAGTACTTTAAGGCTTTTACGCATTATTTAATCTACCGCGCAACTGGTATAAAAACTTCATAATCAGCCTTTACACTGTAGGACCTTGTTTAACATACTGATTTAAACACATGTACAACAAAAAAGGCGCAATTCATCGATCGTAACGCACATAAAAACCGGCCGGTCGATGTATTACACCGCGTACAATGTGGAATTGTGCAAGCAATTCAAGACTATAAATGTGGCTTAAGTTACCTGTTAATGGTTCCATACGCATCTCTCTTTGCACTTTCTTCTTGGTCATATTGGTTTAACTTACAGGTTGTATCCTTAACACATTTATCCGGCGAAGATTCAGCCATGGAAGCCATTCACCGAAACAAATAAAACAAACAACGTCAAACACGTAATTTGATCCCGCAGTGCACACTGTGTTGCTCAGCGGTAGACAATTTCGCGCGCATTTCGTGCGATTTCGCGTGTACTCCCACTCGCTATGATTCCGGAATGACAGTACTCTGGTTTCCTTGTCAGTGGAACCTGGATCCAATATTTAGCGGGATTCCGGATTCCTTAAGCTTAATTCCGGATTAAAAAAAGAAAACAGGATTCCGGATTCCACGACAGTTTTATTGCCCTTTCCGGAAATATTTCATGTCGTATTTCGCTTTTTGTACATTGTTAGCACATAGTGAATTACCTTCGTGAAGAGTTAACACCACAACTGATATTCATTTATTGCTCTGTCGGCAAAAATCCAAATTTTGTCCGATGACCGGAGCTGATTGTAGGCATGTCCATATAATAGCAACAAACTGAAAGGTTTATGTCTCAGCGCACGCGCACGAAATACATCAGTGACACCTGGCATACTGAATATTCCAGCGTTTAAGTATTCCTTTATCTAGCCCAATGTAAGGGAATCCGGATTCCGGAATCTGTGAAATTTTTGCTTGTGGAATCTGGAATCCTGTGCTTGAAATCAGGAATACAGCTCAAGGAATCCGGAATCCTACTAAGGATTGGAATCTGGAATCCAAGTCCAAAGACTGGAATCAAGTATCTGGAATCCAGAACCTAAGACTGTCTTGGATCCCTTCCATGGGGGGCTAGTATTCCTTTAGCGCTGATAAAGTAACACTTCATGATAGTGGAACTATAGTTTTGTGCTTAGCGGACGATTGAGTCACTTCAATGTAAAATATGAAATATAAAATCAGAACCCGATAAAAAGAGAGTACAGTATTGTAAAAAAAAAAAAACATGATACTTTAATCAAAAAACAGAACCCGATAAAAAGAGAGTACAGTATTGTAAAAAAAAAAAAACATGATACTTTAATCCAAAACGTGGCCTTACATGAAGCAACCAAAAGAGGGGCAAAATCTAAACTGACAATAATTAAGGCGGACAAACAAAAACGGAAGGAAGTTGCTTTTGTTGATTACCTTGTTTTCAGTATTTTTGAACAGAAACGATTGGTTTGCCGTTCTTTATTTTCAAACAAACCCGTCACTAGCCGAGAAAATAATCATTCAAAGACGACTAAAAACAGTTTGCATTCCGGAATGACTTGTTTACTTCACCAAATAAAACGCTACTGTTCGTTGCATTGGTTCTAAAACTGTAATTGAGTTGTAAGATAAGTACCTTGCTTATCTTCTTTTTTGAAGTTATTGTCACTACAAAGGCTTGATGGAGTAGAACGTGATAAATTTTCTTATTCGCTAGTTTTATCAAGTATTGAAATTGAAATTCGTCTACTGGAGAAATACATTGTTTACTTCTCGTTTGCACCAAATACCTGGCATCTCTAGCTCGATCTTATATGGCAGACAGTTGCATTACAGACCATGAATAAAAACAAATACTATCAAATGTAGTTTGGGCTCATTTTTATTTTACGTTCACATGAAAAGACGAGTTACAGCATTCATGAAGTACAAAAACTTGAACTCCGTTACGTTTACAGCGCTTTGTATTAAGAAAACTTATAGTTAGGAAGCCATTGGTTTGCAAGGAGATGGAATAACTATTCTGGTTTCCCCTTTAAGGCCATGAATGAAATAACGCCACTTATATAAGTCCCCCTCCCCAGAGAGGCACGATTTTGACATCTTCTCGATTTCTGCAGGGGAAAGCACGTGATCCCAAACATTGACATTTGTCAACATTCCGACCAAGCTGTCCCTTGCATTACGTCTAGATTTAGGCATTTCAGGCATTTGAGCCAACATGAGCCATCTTCCTGACTTAATCACTTGGCCAGTCGCAAACGAACTACTCTGTCCAAATAATGTACCGTCTTTGTATAATTTCAGATGGCCCCCGATGTTTTCCCAAGATACACAGAAGTGGTGCCATTTTCCATCAACTAGTAGAACTTGCCATCCGCTAAAGAAGAAATACAAAGAGAAGAAGGAATTTTTGCTCACAATAATTTCTTTTTATAGATAATTTTATTTTGATATATATATACCTTTTTGCGTTATTGAGTAAGCTTGTTTGGTTAAGATGACTGGATATTTCCCAAGTTCTTTTTCGTTTTTATTCACCCAGACGAAATAAGAATGAGGTCAATATTCAACCATCCTGACCGAACAAGCTTGGTAAATAAAGGATTTATTATATGGCCAAAGATGGAACTTCCTGCGGGACCAACGCGGGAAATGCGGGCAAGACGGACTCGTCTTGCACAGCGTTCTTGCCTGCTAGGGTAGCCAATCAGAACGCAGGATTCGCTTTGTCTTGCACTTTGGCCCGTCCACTTACCCCTTCCCTAAGCTAACATTTTGCCCTAATTGAGTAGTAAGTGTAAATGTTGGCTTAGGGGAGGAGTAGGTGGGCAGTTTCCCAGAAACGTTTAATGATCGTGGCTAAAGACATTAGCGAAGTTGACGCTTGCCATTTGGATTACCTCAGTAAAACCGACAGCGTTTTCTCGTTTTATGAAATTGACTAAGGTTAACCGTCCTTTTTTTGTTATCTAAACTTTGTAAATCGAAAGCTACAGGTCTTGACAACATTTCTGCCAAGCTTCTGAGACAGCTGATTTGATTTCTGAATCATTGTCGTGTCTATTTAACCTGCCAATTAAAAAGGGGATATTTCCCGATGAGTGGAAGGTGATTACACAACCACGCTGGTCGTATAATTACTTCTTCAAATTACGACGCTGGCCTAGATTAGCTCTAATTTTCAGTCACTCAGAGAATTGGCATCAACATCAACAACGGTAAACAAACTGGCAGTACCGCTTCCCCATACTGAAACCTTAAAAAAGAGGTTCAGTTATAATGGTGCGGTATTGTGGAACAGTTTGCCAGATCATTTCAGGCAGGCTCGTCACAAGGCTGACAAGTTTCAAATCAGTTATTCGTCGCCACAATTTCGGAGAGTAAGGTGGCTTTTTACACGGAATCCTTAAAAAGCAGGAAGTTTTCTCTTTTTATGATTAGTGTTGGTCTAATTTAAGTAGATTCTTTCTTACATTTTATTGTATATCATTAGTTGTTAGTTTTTCTTTCTTTCTATTCCTTTGTAATTGCCTGAAGGACTTAACCGAAATAACATAACTTTAAAAATGTTCTTAGTGTTTGACCTTTTTATTACAATATGCCAAAGGGGAGAACAATAAGCAAGAAAACTGCAAAATAAGTTATTGATCGGGTTTTATCTATTACACGTAAATACGTTATCTTTCTTATATGCAAAATGTACCTAATGGCGTGGTTATCAATGTAAATCAGAGGAAATCCCTGGGAGGTGTACACAATGCCAATTCCATTATACGGAGTATACTGGTCAGAACCACCATAATAGAAGATTGTACCATAACTGCCAGTGTCGTTATTCTTCATCCAGAGACATACAGTGAACTGGGTCAAACTGGGCATACCCCAGATGTTCACATAGTCACTAACGCCTTTTGTTGGAAACTGAAGGGCGTAATCTGTAAAATCAAAGGAGATGTTTCTTCAGTCAGAGATATCTATTTAGAGAGAGAGAGAAAGGAGCCATCCTCGGAGACCCAGGGGTAGTCAGTCGGGTCGGGAGAAAAGGCCCGACGAACGTTTTCAAGCAAGGGGGAAAAAGCCCCTGGGTTAAGCAGATGCTGGCTCCTGGTTGCGGCCTAATCGGCGAACAGCATCGCCTGAGTTCTTTTCGTGTGTTCGTACACGCCGGTTATTGTCTCTCCGTACTACGGTCCGTTCACCAAGGTTGTGCGTGCAAGGGAAACTTTCATTTTCTACTTTACCAACAAAAGCGAAGGAACTACTGATAACTTGGGAGAACGTTCCGATGCTATCAGCAGAACCAATTCAATTTGCACCGAGAAAATTCTGTTTCTGACCGATCACAAGGTTTCGTAAATATTATGGAGATATAGCATCGACGACTGCGACGGGAGCAAAACTTCACCTTTAAAATGAATTCGCGTATCTTCAAACGTTATCGAGTTTATTTTAATTCGCTGTAAATGCCAGGCAAAAGTAGACGAATTTTCCAGGATTTGATTTCTTATGGAACGCACTCAAGTTAGAGAGAGAAAGAAAATTTCGTCGTCACTAGTTTACGTCCTCCATAAAACGTGCAATTAGGGTCAATTAGGTACAATTAAAAATTTTCACGGCGTAGTCGTGCAGTGACGGCAAAGCAGCGTGTTCACGTGCAAAGCGGTTGTTTTTCTTATCAAATCTATTGCTTTTTTGCTCCCTTTTAGAATTTTCTTGGTGCAAATTGGAATGGTTCTGCTGATAGCATCCGACATTTTCCCGAGTTATCGGTAGTTCCTTCGTTTCTGGTTAGCAAAGGAGAAAATGAAAGTTTCCTATGCACGTACATCCTTGGTGAACGACCCGGACATTGGCGCAAATAGTGTGGGGAGACAATAGCAGTCGTGTACGTATTCACGAAAAGACTTCGGGCGATTCGCCGATTGGGGAGAAGGCGTTCTAAGCTCACGTTACGAGTGTGATATGTAAATTAACTTTTCACAAGAGAGTCGGTGTCAGGTTACAAGCAACCGTTGTGACTTTGTATGAGAAACAAGACGCCTAAAGTCGTTTCCGTGGGATGCGCTGGTCTGGAAGCATAATGGCGTTCTATCTGAATTTGGAAAAATTAGGAAAACCGGAAAGATGTGTCATGTTATGAGTATCGATGAGTAGGTTACCTGTATGGGTTGGTTTAATGTGCTTATGACTGAATTTATAGTAGCCTGTGTGGCAGGCAACTATTTCTCCCCAATCCACATCCCCTTTATCCCCTACCCATTTCGACACCTGCTACGCAAGCTAAATTTATAGTTGTCAGTGGTCGCAAGGATGGAGTTGATCTTGTTTTGATCGCTATGTAGTTATTTTCGTGGCGCGATTTGGATAAGAAAAAGAAGTTATTTTGCATCAAAACAAGGTTTACCCGTGTGACTTAAATTGTAATGTTAACGGAAACAAGTAATGGCGAACATGCGCATAATGCTCTCTGATTAACCTGAACAGGAACTATATGTATAAAGATACGTCATATCTTGGTATTAAGTTGCCACAGGTAACTTTTTCAAAGAGAAATAAACATTGTAGTTTTAGGTTAATGGAACAAAACAAAACATCCGCTTGTTTTATCCAGGGTCGAACCCAGGGTTACAAAGTTCGATAAAGTTCCCATCAAGAGCATCTTGGAATATTAAACTTTCATCTTGGATTAAAACATGATGTTTTAATCCAAGATGAAAGTTTAATATGCTCTTGATACGGTTAAAAGTTAATTGCAATGTGTTTCCAAGGTCTCAAAGTTAACATAGTTCCAATGATTATCCCTGATTCCAAGGCATAATAAGTTTACTAAAGTCCTGATCCGCGTTCCATCCAGAAGTCCAATCCATGCCGAAAGAGGTTCGTCGATCGACGAGGACAATATTTTCGCGATTTCACCGCCAATCGTCAAGGGTGCGACTTGAAATTTACGCGATTTAACGTCCCATCGTCAAGGTTTTTTCGATGAGAAAAGAAAAAAACTGAACTCTAGCTGTGCTCGGCAAAAACTGGCGAACTCCGAATAGAAAAATCTATCTGAAAGCACGGCCCGCAACCAGACGCTACTAAAACCTTATGAAAAAGCTAGACCTAAACAAAAAAGAATCATGAAGGGAAGAAATAATTTTGCTTGGGTCGCCTTTCGTGACTTGCCAGTATCCCGAAGGATTTCGCGATTTTCGCTGGTTAACAAGCCATCCTAAACCACGAGTGGCAAAACTCAAAGGGGGGCGACAAATTTGGCAGGAACGTTCTTCAGAGGTAGCAAATCGATTAAAAATCGATACAGATTTTGTACAACCTGATTGGTCGGCTTGGAAGAAGAGATAATCGATAAAGATTTTTTTGGGGTACAACCGAACCGGATTTTTACCGTGGGAGTGCCACAGGCCTCCCACGGAATAAAATACTGAGGTCTGCGAACGCTAAATATCATTATTCTTACTTATTTTTCTATAAAATAAACAAAGGAGACTCACCTTCGATGTATTCCTGTGCTTTTTGGTGTGAATTCATCGATTAAGTCGGTTTTTTGGCTGTGGCCAAAAAAACCCGACTAAATCGATGAATTTAAGTACCAGAAGAAATATTGCTATGGTTAAAGTTTATATTCCGTGGAGGAAAATGAGTAAGTTTATTACTTTATGCGACAGACTATTCAGTTTGAACGTATTCCTGTTGAATTTGTTGTCCGTTTTACAGCTGAACCCCGATATAACGATATGCTGAGGGAGCAGTGGAATTAAATCGTTATATCGAGGTATCGTTCTATCGAGACTCCCGATATAACGATGCGATATTGCCGTAAAATAACCGAAAATATCGTTATATCGGGGTAAAATTAACATGTACTTTTTTTACTACATATTGTTTAGTTAAACTTGTAATGAGTATCAAATGAATAAAAAATATAGCGTTTCAAGCACGCAGCAATGTCCTTAAATAATTTGCAAACAATTTGCAAAGCATTATACTCATGCTGTTGCCATAAAACGAATGGAGGGCAAAAGAAAGCGCGAGCAAGTCATAGGATAAAGAGGCATCGTAAACTGAAAGCTGTTGACAGAAACGTTACAGATTACTGTACTCGATTACTGTAATGTTATTGTATTAAATTCAATGTTTTGTTTAAATTGTATCTGTGTACTGATACTGTAATAGCCTGTTCCAGGCGTTCAGATAGTGGGGACCGGTGCGAAGTATTCTTTACTTCGCACCGCCCTCCACTATCTGAACGCTTGGAACAGGCTAATACTGTAATATCGTTATATCGGGGAAGATTTTACTCTCGGTGCGCTAAAAACTCATCGTTATGTCGGGAATATCGTTATATCGAAGATCGTTATATCGAGGTTCTGTCCCATACATTTTTTATTTTATTTAAAATGGTAAACAACCAAGGCCGCTCAAAGGCCAGGGGCACACAGCGAGACTTTAGAACGGTAGATATAGGAACACAGAGAATATTTTTATCCCCTAAAAATTTTTCATCTGTTGAGATTTCCTAGCTGAAAGTCTAGTGATCCGAAAATTATAGGGATCAAAACTTACCTTTTCGAAAATTTCAGCCAGAAAAAAGGATCCCGAAAACTTTAGGTGACCTTGTCAGGGTAAAAATCCGTTAAAAATGGGCAATTATACGTTTTTTTAGATGTTCGACAATCCTAGGAGAGGCAGGCAAGCAAGAAATTTGACAACAAATGCTCCAAAAATTCTAGATCTCAAATCAACAACTATTTTCCAAAAATTGACGTTGGGTGCCCCTGAAAGGCTAGCGGTTTTTCCTGGCTTCGCAATAACTTTGTCGGCTAGAATTGTTCATTCCGGCCCTCCAATAATTCTCAACATTTAAACTCTTATGCATTTTCTTTTTAGAAGAGTCCTCATATTTTCAGCTTTTCTTCCTTTTTGCGCTGTGCCTCATTGCTCATTGCTGTTTTTCTAGTAATTTTGCTTATGGAGTGTAAAAGCAATCGGCTATAAATACAGTGTATAAAAGGGAAATCTTGCCAGAACGTTTCATGGTTAAGTTAAATTCTCACCAGTCAGAGCCGAAGACACTTTGACAGATCCAAAGATCAGGCTAAAACCAACACAAAGGTACAATGCACGCATCGCACTTTTTCTAAAACAAAAGTGAACTAGTTAGTTAGATTAATTAACGAGATACAGGAGATAGTCATTTCTGATAAGATCACGCTGTGCGAATATTTTGCCCTATGACCCATTAGAATCTAAGCCTATAGTGATGAATAATTGCAGATTTCTCTTTCAAAGCTCACAAAGTTTTAAATGGGATCAAAATGGAGTATAGATCAAGACAAATAGATGAGCTTTTGATGTTTTTTGTACCACTATTTTGTATCAAAAAACAAACTAGTAAATATGGTTCAATTTTAAGTTAGGGGCTATGCAGACGTATACATCTGATTCTACGAGAAATCCAGCAAAATACAGTTTCACTGTGCCCAACGAAATCAGACTGATAGACAGATTGTAAACCAATCAGTTCAATCACTTTTGTTATCCTACCTTACCTTTTCTTGGCAAAAAAAAATAACAGCTTTCTCTTCAAAACTTAGTTCTACACTCAACTGGCTATTAAAGAAAACGAACAAAACAGGATATGTACCAGTAGGCATGTAGCGATAGCAAGTAATTTCTTGTTCCGTTTCACAAGAAACGCTTGAACGACAAAAACTTCAACATTACCGAACTGAAACTGAGAAGAACTGAAATTAAAAGGTTTAATCTCTTTTCCCGCAGTGTAGCACTTAAAAAAGTCGATAGCCTGTGAGAGGCTCTCACCCTTTCCCTTCCCTCTCCTTGCCATTCTTTTTTCACCGTTTTCCCAAACAGAGAGCCTGTTCACAGGCTAGTATATATTAAGTCGACAGCCTCTTGTTATGTTCAGTGAGCGAAGTTTGCACTAGAAGGTCAAAATTATTCAGTAATACTTCCTATTTATTGTGGGTTAACGCCCACAGTGAGATTGACCGGTGCAACTTTTCCATTTATAGAGGGTAAATACAGAATATGTCAGGTGATCGAATGAAGGCAATACGGACTAGTTCATATACAGACGGGCGCAAAAGGAAGTTTTAACGCAAATAGGTTGATGATTTCTGAAGTGTATTTCTAGCCTTTCCCCTTATCATACGTGTAGAATGATAAGTTATTCGCTCAAAACGTTGATCGTCGACATCAATAACTATGAACTTATATACTAAAATTTTCACTATTTAAACTCATTGACGTGTTCTTTAAAAGTAATATTTGCTGCGCAAATCAGTTCTCGCGTTTGCTAAAATTTCAAGATGTCGCTATAACGTTAGGGGCGGGAAAGCTCGTTGTCTCACCGTGTAAATTGCAGATTTTGATCTCCTTAGAGGACCGAACGGCAATTGAACCAGACAGGTATCGCTTAGGGTTTAGCGGGAGAAGAAAAGCAGAAAGAAGCAAAAAAGAAAGAAAAGAAAAAAAGTAAAAAAAAAAAAGGAGAGTCAGTGAAAAAGTATATGTCTTGATCGGCGGGCTTACAAAGAGATGGAATAACTACTTTGCATGGTTTCTCCTTCACGGCGACCTGAATAAATATCTGACCACTCATCTATGTGAGTTTCAGAAATCTATTCAACTATTTTAGGAAAGCGCAAATGCTGAAAATATACTTTTAATCACTGAGTATGTGCTTGCCAGTGCAGCAGCAGGAAACAAAGTTTATAGCCATTGAAATGTTTCCTGTTTGTTACTTCCATCGGCCAAAACATTAATTGGCAACATTACAAAGGTTCAAATTATTGGCGAGCTTTAGCGAGGCCAGCATGCAATAAAACGGGAAAAAATCCAAAAGTCTGTCAGATGACGTATAGTACGTACAGAGACCGTTGGCTTGTTGTGCAACTCTCATCGGGGGAGACATGCAATTATTCGTAAGAAGGATGGCAGTTTTAAACGAATCTTTGCCCTGGGATCCTTTATTCCCCTTTCTAAAATATCCAAAATATTCATGGTCTCTTTTTTTTTTCGTAGGTCGCGAAGTTTTCAGCTTCACAGAAAAGCGAAGAAGATCAAATTTTGGTCACTGAATATAATTATGTACGATTTACTTGCTGCAGCACGTGAATAATGAAAGCCCACAATTTCCTTTTTCGTTCACGCGCGCTGCTTGTACTAAAATTTCAGTCTCGTACATTATATTTGTCGCTCGGTTGGTCACAATCCAACGGGATATGGGGATACCGTTTCTAGCGCAAAAACAAAATACACCAACAGCTAACTGCAGTACTTCCTCGTATCCGGCCTTAGCGCCGATAAATTACCTTTTCCATGCATCAAATGGAAGAACTTCGCGGGCAAAGTCACTTCAATTATAAGTATGAAAAAATACTATCTGTACTCGGTAAGAAATGAATACGTTTGAAAAAATACAACGTGAAACTTATTCGTCCAATAAAAATACGATGCTTCGTTTTCCCTTTTTACCAAATATTTGGCATTACTTGGGCTTTTACAAGTAGCGAGGCAAGTTTTTTATCCCAAAAATCACAATTACCATTAAAGCATACTCCATCAAATTCATTTTTGTTCATTTTATTGCTGTACTGTCACGCTTATTATAGTCACAAGAGCCGCTTTAGGGCACTGAATTCAGATCCGTTACAAGTGAAAAACTGACCGCACTTACAACGCTTTATATTAGCAAACTTATAGTTAGGAAGCCATTGGTTTGCAAGGAGATGGGATAACTACTCTGGTTTCCCCTTTAAGGCCATGAATGAAATCAGACCACTTATATACGTTTCCCTCCCCAGAGAGGCACGATTTTGACATCTTCTCGATTTCTGCAGGGGAAAGCACGTGATCCCAGACATTGACGTTTGTCAACATCCCGATGAAACATTGATTTATATCGAAGTCACCACCTAAAGAATCTTGCTCTTGAGCCAGCATAAGCGATCCTCCTGATTTTATCACGTGTCCTGTTGCGAACGATTTCCTTTGCTCTGCCACTGCTCCATCTTTGTATAATTTCCATGAGCCCGCGATGTTTTCCCAGGATAAACAGACGTGGTGCCATTTTCCATCATTTGTTGAAGGTAAGGTAACGCTATAAGAAATAATAACTGAGTAAGAAGAAAACTGCACGCCCCTTATTACTTTGGCAATTGAAACTTTATTTTAAAATTTAATGCTGTCTTGGCAAATCATTGAATGGTAGTCCAATTGTTAACATTTCCTCTTAAATGGTCTTGATCTTTGCCCGTTTCATTAAATATTTCACGCCAAAAGGGCAGGAAAATAAAAAAAACGAGGATAAAGCAAAATAAGTCATTGATCAAGATGTACACTGTTAAGATCTGTTAACGACTCATTTCATCGTTTTTAACAGCAAAATGTACCTGAAGCTTCCACCCGCAATGTAAATACTAGGGTTCCTCACGCCGAGGATGACAATTTCATTATGTTGGCCGGGAACAGCGTAACTGAACGGAGTACCAGAGGTAGTGGCGTTTGTCTTCACCCAGAGACATACAGTGAACTGGGTCAAGCTGGGCATACCCCAGATGTTCACATAGTCACTGGTGCCTTTAGTTGGAAAGTGTAGAGCGTAGTCTGTAATATGTAGATGAAAAAATCAAGGACAACGTTTGGTCAGTAATAGGGATAACTACAGTTATTTAGAGAGACAGAAAAAGAGTAACAGCTTTCATCGTATCAACTGCTTTTTTTTAAAAGCAAATCCTTTTCTGCATTAGTTAAACCTTATTACATTTCTCCTCAACAACGCTTAAGACCCTCACTTCCTTTTTTCTCTTTCGGATTATTTATTTATTTATTTATTTATTGATGTTCTATTCCACCTTGAAATAGTCGATTTTACCTTCTAGTCATTTTGCAGGGGCACCTAACGGCAATTTTCGGAAAATATCCGTTCGGGTGACGATTTGAAATCTAGAATTCTTCTGAACATTCGTTGTAAAATTTCCTGCTTGCCTGCTTCTCCTAGGATTTTCGAGCATCTAAAATATGTTATAATTGCCCAGAATTTTTTACTCTAAAAAGGTCACCTAGAATTTTCGGGAGCCTTTTTTCTGGCTGAAATTTTCGAAAAGGTAAGTTTGGATCCCTATAATTTTCGGATCACTAGACTTTCAGCTAGGAAATCCGAACAGATGAAAAATTTTCAGGAGATAAAAATATGCCTATATCTACCGTTTAAACACTAAAATACGTTTAACAATGCTATCTTAAAGTGGTTTTGAACTATATTCTCGTTGAGTGCCTGTGATTTTGTTTCGGTGGGGCACGTAAAATCAGTCGGTTACTTGGTCGTTGTTTCAAAGCACAAGCTCTGAAGCTTTCCAAAAACCGTTCAGTTATGCTTCATTAAACTCTCACCAGATAAAGACAACACCTTGACATTTAGAGATCCAAAGATCAGAACAAAGCCAACGCAAAGATAGAATGTACCCATGACCGTTGTCCTGGAGCAATGAGAAACAAAAAAAGTAGTCTAAGTAACAAGTCCGAGTCATTTCTAATAATACTGACGAATACTGATTTCACTGGATAATGTCCATTAGAACCCAAAGGCCTATAGCGATGAATATATTCAGATTTTTCTTACTATGATCGAAACGTTAACATGATATTAAATGGTAGAACAGAATACACTGACAAATGGATGAATCCCCAATGTTTTTGTTATAACTGTTTTGTAACACAAAACATAGTACAGGAGATTTTCAATGTAAATGATTTAGTCCAGTTTTGTTATCCTCCCTTACCTTTTTTCTCTGCGGAAGTATTTATCAGCAACCTTAAAGACTGAGTGTTCCACTCAACTGGGCAAGGAAATGAACAGCACCGAGTTATCGACTTTGAGTTCTTGTGTATAGCTGGAAAGGAAGACGATAGCCTTTAATGTTCCTGTTCCGTTTCACACGCAACCCTTAAACTAAAACGTCAACATCACTGAATTGAAGCTGAGAGGAACTGAATCTCATGATAGGCTTAGGTGATGAGCATTGCGCCTGCATAATAGGCGCTTTATGAGTCAAGCGAGGCGAACGCGGCATTTTGCGTGAAGCGCGAGACAAGCACGAATCGCGAGACGAGGGGAGGAGAAATACGAAGCTTTATTTTTTTCCCCCCTTGTCTCGCGCTTCGCGCAAAATTCTACGTTCGCCTCGCTTGGCTCATAAAGCGCCTATTAATCTAGTCTTTTAATCACAGAGTATCAAAAAACTTCCTTGTATAGTACGTAGGGAAGTCAGTAGCGTGTAATAGAGACCTTAAGATACATCGCTTCCGTGTATAGACATGGGTAAATTTACTGTGACTGTAGCCGTACATAGGGCTAGATAGCCTCCCACCCTTGTAAAAACCGGTAGGCTACCGGAAAGAACGATGATGCCATTACCACACCTAGAAATCATGGTCGCCTTTTATATAATTGCATACCAAACATGTTGGTTGGACATTTGTACCTGTACTCGTAGGTAGAAACAGTGCATCTCACGGTCTCTACTATAATCATAGGAGGGACGCATAGCCTGCAAGAACGCATGCGGAGCTCGCAATTTTTACTTTCAAAGTCTTAAATATACACTTCATGTCGTTATATTAGTTTGTCAGTACGATTTGAGTCGCAGATTTGTTATTAGTGAGTACTCTGAAAAATATCCCAGATGAGTATGAGATCCTGACACTTCAATCATGGGTGGTGTTTTATGATATGCAACGTCATTTAGACTACTCTATACAGATCATTCATTATGCTTTTCATACACGTTTAAAGGTACGGCTCAAAAAGACCATATACTCTGTCAGCACGGTATGAGGATCAATGGAACAGCCCCCCTGGCTAAGGTCTGCTTTATCACTCAATTCAAGCAGGGATAGAATGCCTGAAAATAACAGGAAAAGATAAAATTGGTCACCCAATTTCAATCTTTCTATGGTAAGCATGGTAAGCAGTTAACTGTATCACTTCATTCAATTTAGTAGCCTTCTCTTGGAAACGTTTCTATCGTTTTCCGTCACAGGGCTCAAGTGGTACTTGACCTTTCCTCTAGCAAGATTGGTCGATTAAACAGGTGACAGTCAAGGGTGATTTTATTTAAGTAACCGGTGCTTGCACATAATAAAATTTCTTTGCAGTGGCTTTTTAATCTTTTGGCGAGTGTAACAGTTTTCTCAAGATCTTACCCAAAAGAAGTAAAAAGGAGTACACAGGCGACCAACGTGGTTCCACTTAAGGCACACAAAGTTACATCTGGGAGGTAGACGCTCACAAAAAACAAGAGGAGAGTAGTTGGTATAATTTTGAATTCTGACATGATTTTAAGGTAACGGACGACGGGGGTAAAAGATCACGTATTTTCGCCCACTAACTGAGGTAAAATTTTGCTATAATTTGATTAGCAAATTTTTTATATCAAATGTTGTTTGTTTCTTATAATATTTTTTTAATGATGGATTTAATTTTCATGTCGCTTCATAATTTATAAACTCGCAAATGTCGGCGGTCAGATATATTTAGAATATCCGGATTATTAAGCGACCTAGTCTTTTGCAATGAAGCTTTCTCTGTGCCGACGTCATAGGCCCCTGGTAGTAGTAATGTATTTTCTGTCTTAATAAAACGGTACTTCCGCAAGGGCGCAAGCAGTAACATGTTACATGCAGTTCAAAATAGGTTTTCAAGTTTCTTTAATTTGGCAGAAGATCGCTTCTGATTTGTCATTATCTTTTTCACAATTTCGAACCCGTTCTTTTCGGAATTCCGAAAAACCAGTGTTCGATCGTTGACCAAAGAGGACAGTTTTCTAGGAAAAAATGGCTGATAACATAGAATCTAGTTTTTCTTTCTCGGCGTTTATTGGTGAGTACAGGCCTCAGTATAGACTAATGCACTTTGGGAGACGTACCTGATTTTAAAATTGTCATCAGCATTATTGTACTGATGATGAACAAAGATCTCGTTCAGTACATCATTTTAGTTTTCCAATGCCGGTTTGTTTTGCGTTGAGGATGGGTACCCTGTGTTCAGATAATCTGAGTCGTCCACAGGAACCCATTACCTGTATGACCCATAGTGACTTTTCTATCGACGATTGGGTGGACATGTTTGACCTTTATGTATTTTCTAGTCATACAGTGCAAGATGAGGATGCGTTTGAAACCGTTATTTCTTTGGACCATACTGATTGTCGGCATGACCGTCCTTGTGGTTGCTGAAGGAACAAAGACAAATCGCTATCACATTATCTTGAAGAAATTGTTTAAAGACAAAAATTTAGGTAAGTTACCTCCTATTACTCTTTTGGCTATTTATTTGCCAAGATATCAGTAGGCATGAAATAAATGTAGTTAAGCAAAGGTAATTAAGGCGAACTGAGCCTGAATTTAGCAGAACTATAACTGAGAACTAGCCAAATACCTGACTTACGTTATATTTAAATAATAGAAAACGTTTTCGGTGTTTGCATAGCCTGATATAAACACGAGAGGAGTTGGGAGAATTCGAGACAGTTATGCAAACTCGAGACGAAGTCGAGGGTTTGCATAACCGTCGAGAATTCTCCCAACGCCTCGAGTGTTTATATCAGGCTATGCAAACACAGGAAAAAAGTTTTCTATTGCTTTTATACAATAACTTTCCCGAGAAAAAAAACGCAAAACTCTTTGTATGGCACTGATTAAAAGAGAAATTCTTACCAGTCGCAAAATTGTGTATAGCTGGAAAGGAAGACGATAGCCTTTAATGTTCCTGTTCCGTTTCACACGCAACCCTTAAACTAAAACGTCAACATCACTGAATTGAAGCTGAGAGGAACTGAATCTCATGATAGGCTTAGGTGATGAGCATTGCGCCTGCATAATAGGCGCTTTATGAGTCAAGCGAGGCGAACGCGGCATTTTGCGTGAAGCGCGAGACAAGCACGAATCGCGAGACGAGGGGAGGAGAAATACGAAGCTTTATTTTTTTCCCCCCTTGTCTCGCGCTTCGCGCAAAATTCTACGTTCGCCTCGCTTGGCTCATAAAGCGCCTATTAATCTAGTCTTTTAATCACAGAGTATCAAAAAACTTCCTTGTATAGTACGTAGGGAAGTCAGTAGCGTGTAATAGAGACCTTAAGATACATCGCTTCCGTGTATAGACATGGGTAAATTTACTGTGACTGTAGCCGTACATAGGGCTAGATAGCCTCCCACCCTTGTAAAAACCGGTAGGCTACCGGAAAGAACGATGATGCCATTACCACACCTAGAAATCATGGTCGCCTTTTATATAATTGCATACCAAACATGTTGGTTGGACATTTGTACCTGTACTCGTAGGTAGAAACAGTGCATCTCACGGTCTCTACTATAATCATAGGAGGGACGCATAGCCTGCAAGAACGCATGCGGAGCTCGCAATTTTTACTTTCAAAGTCTTAAATATACACTTCATGTCGTTATATTAGTTTGTCAGTACGATTTGAGTCGCAGATTTGTTATTAGTGAGTACTCTGAAAAATATCCCAGATGAGTATGAGATCCTGACACTTCAATCATGGGTGGTGTTTTATGATATGCAACGTCATTTAGACTACTCTATACAGATCATTCATTATGCTTTTCATACACGTTTAAAGGTACGGCTCAAAAAGACCGTATACTCTGTCAGCACGGTATGAGGATCAATGGAACAGCCCCCCTGGCTAAGGTCTGCTTTATCACTCAATTCAAGCAGGGATAGAATGCCTGAAAATAACAGGAAAAGATAAAATTGGTCACCCAATTTCAATCTTTCTATGGTAAGCATGGTAAGCAGTTAACTGTATCACTTCATTCAATTTAGTAGCCTTCTCTTGGAAACGTTTCTATCGTTTTCCGTCACAGGGCTCAAGTGGTACTTGACCTTTCCTCTAGCAAGATTGGTCGATCAAACAGGTGACAGTCAAGGGTGATTTTATTTAAGTAACCGGTGCTTACACATAATAAAATTTCTTTGCAGTGGCTTTTTAATCTTTTGGCGAGTGTAACTGTTTTCTCAAGATCTTACCCAAAAGAAGTAAAAAGGAGTACACAGGCGACCAACGTGGTTCCACTTAAGGCACACAAAGTTACATCTGGGAGGTAGACGCTCACAAAAAACAAGAGGAGAGTAGTTGGTATAATTTTGAATTCTGACATGATTTTAAGGTAACGGACGACGGGGGTAAAAGATCACGTATTTTCGCCCACTAACTGAGGTAAAATTTTGCTATAATTTGATTAGCAAATTTTTTATATCAAATGTTGTTTGTTTCTTATAATATTTTTTTAATGATGGATTTAATTTTCATGTCGCTTCATAATTTATAAACTCGCAAATGTCGGCGGTCAGATATATTTAGAATATCCGGATTATTAAGCGACCTAGTCTTTTGCAATGAAGCTTTCTCTGTGCCGACGTCATAGGCCCCTGGTAGTAGTAATGTATTTTCTGTCTTAATAAAACGGTACTTCCGCAAGGGCGCAAGCAGTAACATGTTACATGCAGTTCAAAATAGGTTTTCAAGTTTCTTTAATTTGGCAGAAGATCGCTTCTGATTTGTCATTATCTTTTTCACAATTTCGAACCCGTTCTTTTCGGAATTCCGAAAAACCAGTGTTCGATCGTTGACCAAAGAGGACAGTTTTCTAGGAAAAAATGGCTGATAACATAGAATCTAGTTTTTCTTTCTCGGCGTTTATTGGTGAGTACAGGCCTCAGTATAGACTAATGCACTTTGGGAGACGTACCTGATTTTAAAATTGTCATCAGCATTATTGTACTGATGATGAACAAAGATCTCGTTCAGTACATCATTTTAGTTTTCCAATGCCGGTTTGTTTTGCGTTGAGGATGGGTACCCTGTGTTCAGATAATCTGAGTCGTCCACAGGAACCCATTACCTGTATGACCCATAGTGACTTTTCTATCGACGATTGGGTGGACATGTTTGACCTTTATGTATTTTCTAGTCATACAGTGCAAGATGAGGATGCGTTTGAAACCGTTATTTCTTTGGACCATACTGATTGTCGGCATGACCGTCCTTGTGGTTGCTGAAGGAACAAAGACAAATCGCTATCACATTATCTTGAAGAAATTGTTTAAAGACAAAAATTTAGGTAAGTTACCTCCTATTACTCTTTTGGCTATTTATTTGCCAAGATATCAGTAGGCATGAAATAAATGTAGTTAAGCAAAGGTAATTAAGGCGAACTGAGCCTGAATTTAGCAGAACTATAACTGAGAACTAGCCAAATACCTGACTTACGTTATATTTAAATAATAGAAAACGTTTTCCGTGTTTGCATAGCCTGATATAAACACGAGAGGAGTTGGGAGAATTCGAGACAGTTATGCAAACTCGAGACGAAGTCGAGGGTTTGCATAACCGTCGAGAATTCTCCCAACGCCTCGAGTGTTTATATCAGGCTATGCAAACACAGGAAAAAAGTTTTCTATTGCTTTTATACAATAACTTTCCCGAGAAAAAAACGCAAAACTCTTTGCATGGCACTGATTAAAAGAGAAATTCTTACCAGTCGCAAAATCTTGTCTACGAAGTCTTGAACGCGTAATCAGTTCTTGTTTTGCAAAAAGATGCTTTGCAAAATACGGATATTTCTCGCGTAAAATGTCAACTTAAGCGAAGAAAAATTGACTCACCTTCTTTGCAACGATTTTACATGTTTCAGCCGATGAAGGAATGGGTAAATAAACTAAACTTGTCGAGTTTTGAACTCGAAAACTTTTTCAAATTCGTACTATCTTAGTATACCTATATTTACTCACTTACTTAAAAATCTAATCGACTGAATAATTACCTTTTTGGAATGTCGGGTTCTAATCTTACGCCGTAAAACTGTCGCTTGTAGCTTTTCTCTTCTTGAATTTGACTTATTTTGACTACCTGAAGTTCAGTTAGAAGCCACTGAATGCAAAACGGTTTTTGATCTACTTGTTTCGAAGAACTTTTCAGTAGTAAGCTCCTCGGATATACCCCAGCTGGTCAGAGTTTCTTATAGACTATATTAAACCCACTTGTTTTGATATGATTTTAGGGCTTTCAAGAGGAACCAGACATCGCATCTCTGGGCTTCGAAAGGCACTATTCAACCGGCACACAGCCCCTTATTACCTATCACCTCGCTCTCCAGTAGACCCGTATATCAGCCAGTATGCAGCCTACGCCCCATCTCTCCCGGATCCTGCACCATCATCATTCTACAAACCGTCATATCCATCGCTGCCATTGAGTCCCACACAGTATTCAGACCCATCTGTTTCATCATATCCATCACAGTCCCCTTACCCTTATGCCTACCCTGCCCCATCCCATTACCCTTATCCAGCTTCCGCTCCTTCATCATACTACTCCCCAGTTTCATCATACCCATCCCAACCATATGCCCCGTCAACGTCAACCACTCCCTTCTCGTCTCAATCCCAGCAACTGTCTTACTCATCGTCATCAAGCCCTCACACTTACGATCAGAGTCAGCAGATGTCTTATACTTCTCCTCTCACCTCATCTGCTGAAGTTTCATCCATTAGTAACTCTGCCGCCTATTTAATCCCCGCAAAACCTTCTCAAACGATCAGTGACGCTGCTAAGAAACCCAAGCCTAAACCGACACCTCCGGATAGAACAGAGACGTTTGAGATCAGAGGAAGATGTAAGCAAGTGAATAACCTTGTTTGTTAGGAACTTTTACACCATTGTAATCATGTCTTATGCACCTTTCAATTAAGGTGGCCCTAAACACTTTCCAAACTCTTTTAAACTTGCCACAGGTACTAGATTCCGGGATCCTGGTCGGTGGAACTTGGATTCCGGATTCTGATCGCAGCACTTGAAATGCACGGTATTAATTTCACTTCAAATACAATCTTTAAGTGTGCTGCACTTTGCATTTCAGTCTTCAAAAGCATCGGTTGCTGGGCAGACTCTCAGCAAGACCGTGCCATGGATAGTTTAGAAGGAAAGTTCTCAAAGCTTAAACAACATGATTACAAGACCAGAGTAAATGCCCTGATGAAATGCGCCGAAGCAGCAGATGAAAACGACCTCGAGCTGTTTGCTATACAGAACGGTGGTCAGTGTTTTGGCGGGAGAAACGACAAGAACACATATCGCAAACATGGGCCTAGTTCAGATTGTGGAGGTGATTATAATCGTTCTCCATCCTCTATTTGGCGATTCTTAAAACTTGACATCCCTTAAAAACTTTCAAAAAAAAAGGAAAATAAATTCTGTATTTCGAGAATTCAGTGCAGTGCTAAATTTACCACTTTATTGAAGCCACAGCTATCTAAGAACTTGCTACATCCATTAAAGTTTATCCGCAACTTGTCTTAAAGTTAGTTGACTTCCCTGACTAGACGGCGAACTGTTACACTTGAATTAGAGATATCTACCAGTTGTTGGACAGGTAAAAACCCTTAGCGATTATCATGAATTAATTTTACATTTGAAGTGTGATGATGGTGTTATCATCAATTATCATCATCACATCATCATCATCATCATCATCATCATCATCATCATCATCATCATCATCATCATATTATTATTATTATTATTATTATTATTATTATTATTATTATTATTTAGTTATATTACCATTTTGTTTTCAGGTGATGGCGAAGGAGGGCCTTGGAGTAACGAGGTGTATAGGTGAAGGACTAAACTAGAATAAATTAGAAAAATTACATAATATTTATCTCCCCCCCCCTCCCCTAACAAAGTCATTTACAACATTTTAAATTAATTTCTGCGTTATCGAAATCAATTTACAGCACACACTCACACATATTCTTCTGTTTCCTCTGTAATTGTATGGGGCATAAATTAGTTATTCAGATTCTGTTTTGACGCTTATTTTGAATAAATTGTATGTGATCTGAAATAGTTTTCTAGATGAGGATGGCCAACTACTTGTAGAACCACCAAAAGAAACTGCAATGGACAGCAACAATAAATCAAGCAATAGTTCAAAGTCTGCAGGATGTCCGAATCCGTGCGCAAGTACTAGCACTCCCCAGCAAGTCTCACCTCCGATGTGTCCGAGCTCCTGCACAAATAACCCCCCTCAGCAAGTATCGCCCCCAGTATGCCCAAATCCATGTGGTAATAATCAGTCATCACCAGCCTCTGGGAATAATTCGTGTCCAAATCTCTGCTCAAATAATCCCCCACAGCAAGTATCGCCCCCAGTATGCCCAAATCCATGTGGTAAAAATCAGTCCTCACCAGCCTCTGGGAATAATTCGTGTCCGAATCCCTGCCCAAATAATCCCCCTCAGCAAGTATCGCCCCCAGTATGCCCAAATCCATGTGATAACAATCAATCCTCAACAGCTTCTGGGAATAATTCGTGTAGCAGTCCTCAACAAAGTTGTGGTGGAGGATGTCCGATGCCAACTTCCGGTTGCATTAGTAAGTCCTCTTTTTTAAATTTTTAATCCGATTTTCAACAGACCATTCCTCTCTCTTCAACATAATCTAAGAATTAATTTTTTCCTTTACTGCTGGTGAAATAATGTAACTTAAGCTTATTCAAACGTTCAAGTGCCCACGAGAATGGGTCTTCATCATAATACCAACCTCCTGTCGAATGCTAGCTCACAGTACGGTCCTCTCAGCATTGTTCCACTTTTTAGATTAACACATTAAGAAGAAACGACAAAATGTCTGTTAGGTCGAAGTCTCTAAACCTAATGCCACCGGCATGCAGGTCCGGCGATTTAGAGTCCAACACACACCAGGGTACCAGGGTGCCAATGCTCAATGCATTGATAATGTTCACTACTTTTTGGCATTATTGTTCTATTCCCAGGCACTAATAACAAAGTTAATGGAACAGCTAAAGGTAAGTAAAATAATAATAGACTTCTTAATTTGCTTTGTTCTAAAACAAGTTAACAAGAATTCAGGCTTTATAACTATTGCGTGTGTTTACGAATCTGCGAGTACTATTACTAAAAATTTTTTTTTTGGTCTTGTTGATCAGTCCGTCATACCAATAATGATCGAATGAAATTTTCCTTTTCTCTGAATAGGACAATCAACTAAAGGTAACAACACCAAATCACCTGGCGGATGCACACCGAGTGTGATGGAAGGAAGCCCATGTATGCCCCAGGGGGCACAGTCCGGGGGATGTGGAGCTATGGAAGTAATGACTCCCTGTCCATCTCCAACAGATATCTCTGGGGGATGTGCCTCCCCAGGAGCAGGGGCGACAGCAGGGGGTTTAACTTGTTTGCCCCAAGAAATGCCCGCTGGGATCCCTAATTGCGGCGGAGCATCAACTGGAGGAGGGGCATCCTGTATAACGGTCGACTCCGGTTGTGTTCAAATCAGCTCGCAGTCTATGGGAGGAGAACAGTGTCCTCCTTTAAACCAGGGGATGACAGTTGGCTGTCCTGGGATGGGAACTGAGATGATGCCGATGCCGGGAACGACTTGTGTGATCCAGGGCAAGGTTGTTGAGGGATGCCCTAATGTTACCACTGGTGGCGGCGTCTGTCCACCATCCGGTGTCACTGGTACGACGCCTGGTCCCAGTCCTAAACCTGGTACAACTGGAATCACTCCTGGTACAAAGCCTAAGATCACTCCTGGTCCAAAGCCTAAGCCTGGCACAACTACCCCTGGCCCTACCCCTAATAAGCCTGATACAAAGAAACCTGGTCCAAAGCCTAAACCTACTTCAAGTGAGACATTATTAATACAATTGCTTTAACCTTAGAATTTTTAACTTGCTTAATCTACTTGCAGCATCATTGATTATTTGGAATAAGGCTATATGTATTAAAAATGCAATGATTTGTAATCACCCTAGGAAACATGCAGCAAATGTCTATCGAAAGTGCGTTTGGCTTTACCGGGTATCATCAGTCGAATGAAACTCTTCAGAATGACTTTTGGTTCAGTCTTGATAATGTAAGAGTAAAAGCTAAGGAGCTAGTTCAAAGATCTTTCATCATCATTTAATAACCCTCCACTTGATCTAATACAGTGGATCCTCGATTTAACGAAGAACCAAAGGACTGTCAAAATTTGTTCGCTTTAACGAGATTTCGTTACATCGAGGTTCTTTTTAACATATTTTGCTATTATTGGGGTAAAGAAAATCGTTCGTTGTATCGAGTACTTCGTTATATCGAGGTTCTTTTTAATAAATTTTACTATTATTGGGGTAAAGAAAATCGTTCTTTATATCGAGGTTCTTTGAATCGAGATTTCACTGTAGAAGGCGATTTGCGGACGGACTGAATATGTTGGACTCCACTGACCATTCCATTAATTATAACTATATCTGAAGTGGTCACTTAAAAATTATTCCTCGAGCCCGAATGGGCTCTGAGTTAATAGCCCATGAGGCCGAAGGCCGAATGGGCTATTGACTCAGAGGCCATGAGGGCGAGAGAAATAATTGTTTTAGTAAAATCCAACTAGTTGGTCAAAAAAATCGAGATAAAACAACTTTAGCTAGCAAAACGCGACGCAAAAGCCATTGTTTTGCCGGCGCTTTTCGTTACTAGTGGGCTATAACATATAGCCTAGTAGTAGCTCAACCAATCAGAACGCAGCATTGATAATAGACCACTAGGTTGGATTTTCCTAAAAAAAGATATACATAGCCTCTCAGATCACCAGTTTTAAACTCTATATAGCAATATCATCTGTCCTCTCCGGCAAACAGTGAGGAGTTAAATAAATGATGATACTGTATATGTTAAGCGGTGAGATGATAATGACTACGATATGCTATTTAATTGTTTGTAGAATGCAAGGCAAAAGTGGACCTAGGATTTATCATTGATGGCTCTGGAAGCATAGAAAATGCTGGTAAAGGAAACTTCAAAAAGGTTTTAAGCTTTGTCAAAGCTATAACCCAAGCGTTTGATGTATCTAAAGAAGAAACCCACGTAGGAATCATAGTTTATGACGAAAAGGCGGAGGTAAAACTAGTTTAGACTAGTTAAAGACATAATAGTCACAAATACATCGACATAATATACAACTGTACATACCATAATGACAAAATATTTTTTAACGCCTGAATCAGCAGATCCCTTGTCAGTCGTCAACGAAATTTTCATAAATTTATATACTCATATAAAAGGTGGTTGAGTTTTTGCTCTTCTCGAGTAAATAGGCAGCTCCTTACATTACAGCTCTTAAGATCATGTGAATATTATGGGATTTGGTGCAGTTTTATCATGTAAACTGTTGGCCATACTGCACCCTTAGATTCATGGTAACACAGTGAAATGATTGTAGAAAAGAATTGCAAATGAAACCTCTGTTAGCATTAAGCGGCCACCTCCATCAAGCACAGGGCTGCGGCTACCCTTCGCCCTTCCCAGTGAGTGTTCCCATTATGATGAAGGAAAATGCAGTCCGGAGGTAGAAGGTGACGACTTATTATGGATAGTAATGCCGCTCCGGTCGTATGTTTGTTTCGAAATAAAGTGTTAAGGATTATGCAAAATTCTGAAGAACCTCTATCGAGCTTACCCCGAGGGTGTAGTTATTGCTGTAGTCATTGCTTGTCTTTCTAATGTCCATGAATACTAGCGGACATCTAAATAAATAGCGTGGAGAGCGAAAAGGGAAGGGAAAATACACTTGTTACTGGTTAATCAGGATACATCGTGTTTCTTTATCACAGCTTGTGTTGAAGTTTGATGAGCATGATAAAAAAGCAGACGTTCTCTCCGCTATCGACGGAATCAAATATCCCGGCGGAGGAACAAAGACCGGGGCAGCGCTTAACAAAGCCAAGTCAGAATTATTTGAAAAAAGTGCGCGCGCTGGAGTTCCCAATATTGCCATCGTCATTACAGATGGCAAGTCAAGGGACAGTATTGGAGCTCCCGCACAACAGTTGAGAGACTCTGGCTGTACTGTGTTCAGTGTAGGAATTGGAAAGAATTACAATGAGGAACAACTGCGAGAAATGGCCACTGATCCAGACTCACAACATGTAATGAAGGCTGATTTTGATGCACTTGATACAATTATTGAAACCATCGTGGGAAATGCTTGTAAGGGTAGGTGCTCTCAGTATTAAAAGCTTCTTGAGTTACGTTTTGACCTTTTTGAAGGGAGTGGAATTGCTGAAAAACTCTGGCTTACAAAAGGAAATACAAAGTCGCCCAAGAAAAGCAACGCAGCTTCTTCTCACGTTAAACATAAAACAAAAATATAGTGACAGCTAATTGGAGACTTGTTACAGGAGATAATCCTCCCTCGCTTATTAGAACATTGAACTGAAATGTATAGGAATTTCCTGAGAGTTGAATGATGATCATAGATCATAGCTCAAAAGAAATAATAATGATGCAAATTCCTCGTTACGGCAGAAAGGCGGCATTTCGAGGCTATAATGGCCTCCAGAGTTAGTCGTCTGAATAGATACTTCTGGCTCCACTTGTTCAAAAAGTGCTGGTCAATTTATCCAGATAAGATAAGATAAAGAGCATTGCCTAATAGTTATCCAGTGGATAGCGCCATCTAACGTTTGAAACAACTGGCGCCCGAATTTATTTGTGTAATCCGTTTCAGTTTCTCCCTTTGCCCTCGTACATGCAATTATAAAGTAATTGGTCTGTTTTGATTTGGTTATACAGGTGCAGGAGGTACAATAGAGCAACCACGTAAGTTAAGTTTTTTAGAATGAATAAAATAAACGAAATTTTCTGAAACGTTTAGGACAGGTTCCTTTCTCTATCACCACATAGCTTTAGGTTATGTTAAATTGTGTTTATAGGTTTGGTACTATAAACGCGCAAAAATGCCATTATCGTCCACTTCCGGAAGTTTTTATGTTAAAAGTTCTATATAAGAGATTCAAAAGCATTTTGGTATCTTGGAAAGTGAAGATGAATATAAGCAACTAGTAATTCTTTGGTCTTCTTTCTTTAATTATGCAATTATTTGATTGTATGCAAAATGTATCGGGGTTTATATCCATTTTTAAAAGTAAATTATCGTAGTAGGTTCTTGTAATTCCTCTTTGTTATGTGCGTTGTCCTGCCCAGCCATTGCAAGTTTTGATGTATTGCCGACTGATTTGTTATTATCATTATTTTCACTGATATCATAACCTTGTTGATATACAGCTATTTCAAGAAAGGTTGTCGGAAAAAGTGCACGTGACAATCCCGAAAGGTATTGTGGGTGATCTTGAGTTCACTGTTTTTCAAAGAAATTTCAAAGAATGGCACGAGAAACCATGGACATATGTTTGCGAGTGCTAAAGGAAAGCAACAAAAGTAGATTCGACAGCTACAGTGCCAGGAAAAGTGCATTGATCATATCCCATATTACCTTTCGGGATTATCGCGTGCACAGTTCTTCCGACAACCTTTCTCGAAATAGCTGTATATCACGAATTAAGAAGAAACACTCAGGTATAAAAATAAGGTCAGAAGATTAAAAAACACAGTTAGGTCCAGGCCAAACGTCCATTTTTTCATGAGAAGAACCGTGAGTTAAGTTCATGATATCTTCCTTCGTCCCGTGTAAGGGAATCCGGATTCCGCAATCCGGAAAAGTTTTGCTTAAAGAGTCCAGAATCCTGGGTTTTGGAATCAGCAATACAGCTCAAGGAATCCGGAATCCCACTAACGATTGGAATCCAGAATCCTGCTGGCAAACACTGCAATAGAGTACCTGGAATCTGGAATACAGCTCAAGGAATCCGGAATCCCACTAAAGATTGGAATCCAGAATCCTACTGACAAACATTGGAATAGAGTACCTGGAATCCGACATCCACAGCGTGGAATCCAGAATCCAAGACTGTCCTTGATTCCCTCACATTGGGCGACATGAAAAGTTTGACGTTGGGTTCAGTTAACGTCTGAATGAGTTCTATCCGTTTGCTTGAGACAGAAAGAACGTCTTAGAGTTTGCTTCGTCTCATGAAAAGTTCGACGCTTGGCCTTAAACTTGAAATTTTAACTGTTTCGAGGAGTACTAGTTCGTGTAAATTAAATTATTCTATTAGTATGGGATAATTAACAATTATTCCTCGAGCCCGAATGGGTCTGAAGGCCGAAGGCCTCATGGGCTATTGATTCAGAGGCCATGAGGGCGAGAGGAATAATTGTTTTAGTAAAATCCAACTAGTAGGTCAAAAATATCGAGACAAAACAACTTTAGCTAGCAAAACGGGCAAAACTAGCCGCCACTGTTTTGGTTTTCAAAGCCGGCGCTTTTCGCTAGTAGTGGGCTATAACATATAGCCTAGTAGTAGCTCAACCAATCAGAACGTAGCATTGATAATAGACCACAAGTCGGATTTTACTAAAAGGCAATACTTCAACCAAAGATTATACCTATGTCACATCTTTGAGGTTTAACGTTCTCTGAAAGCCTGTCCTTTAGCTCTTTTTGAAAGACCGCCTTTTAACGTTTAAGTTGAAAAAAAATTCCTTCTTCCTATGTAGCACCATCAATTACTTCCCCGCCTACACCACCATCAACCAGCTTCCAAAAGACCAGTAAGTGGTTATAAATATGATAAACTACTAGCAGCTTAAAGATTGTCTTCCCTTATGTTTCCAGTTTCGATTTATATACAGTACAACACCGGTAAACGATAATCAGTTCGAGTTACCGGGGGTTCGAGTTATCGCCACTTTAATAGGTGACGGTTTACTGGTTTTTCAGCATTTCACTATACGGTACAGTCCAAATAAAACTTACTTTATCAAAAACTGTAATATATATTGGGAAATGCTTGTCATATATGTGATCTGTTCAAATTGCTGTCAGTTTTAGGGTTCTTAGCGATAACACTTTAAGACTGAGAAATAATGGGATGGCATGAGTGGTGGGTTATGAGGGTAAATTTTGATCAAGGGATACGAAATTTAGTTCTGGTTAGCGGGGAATCCGAGTTATCCCAGTACGAGTTAACCGAGTGAAATGACTGAAAAGTGGGGCGAAATCCCAGGGAAATAGGACTTCGAGTTTCCCGGTTTGCCGGGGTTCTATACTGTACATAAGAAAAATGAAATAAAAATATGGTATTAAGTAATGGTAGCACATGTCCACTGTCCGTGTTTCCCTACCATATTTCTCTCAATTAAATATTCTTAATTTTTACAATGTACGGGGGAAACACAGCAGGACAGTTTAGCTTAACACGGAAGTCGTATAGACAGTAACTACACTCAAGAGAGCTCATTGTACTTTTTAAAGTTTTTTAAGATAGTGAAAAATTGAAAATAGAACGACCTTGGTAGCTAGAATTTTCCAGTGACATTGTTTATTACGTCGTAGAACATAAGTTCTTAGTAGCTGCAGCGTGGTCATTCAAATGTAATTTTCATGGTCCTTTTTTTTGCTTTGCGCCTTTTTAAAAAAAATTTTCTTGACTTTTTCCTACTTTCAGGAGCAAAGGAGTTGGGTGTGTGGGCAATAATTATTTTTACATTTGAATCGATCCATTGCAGCGTAGCAGCTGTCTTGAAGCTTTTGAATATTGTTGTTTTCTTACACATGAATTGAGAGGGGACAGAAGCGTTATATGATTCAATTTAGGCACTGAAACAAAAGTACGATACATAAAGGGGAAAAAAGACTGAATCGTGAAAGAGGAAAAGCGTAGGGACTTGACTGCAACGGAGGTATCAGCTGATGATGCTTGCGCTTTAGCCCCTTTAAAAGAATGTTTAACATTATTGACGTCAAAAAACCACTTTCTGGCAGGATGCAAAGGCAAAGTAGACATTGCTGTTCTGCTGGATGGCTCTGAGAGAATCGACTACCAGCAGGCTGGAAACTTTAAAAAATGCCAACAATTCTTGAAAAGTTTCTTTAGCTCTTTCAACATAGCCAAAGATGGCACACGAGTAGGACTTGTGTTGTTTTCCAAAACTTCTGAAGTCAGATTCGATTTCGAGAAGTATGCTGATACGAAGTCTATAACAGAGGCTATTGACAAGATACCGTATCCCAGAAAAGGTACTAACTGTGGAGCTGGTCTTGATATGGTGCGCACTAATCTGTTTGAGGCGAGCGCTAGACAAGGAGTAAGGGACGTACTCCTGGTTATCACCGGTGGATCCTCTCAGGTAAGAAGTGTTCTAGGGTCTGTGGTGGTGGATGAGTCGTGGGGGAGGGGGTAGGATACTCAACAAACCTTTCTACGGGAAGCTTCGCTTACGCTTTTATATAACTCTTTTGACCAAAAAGGTACCCCTTTCCATTAACCTACGAAAGCGTGATGAACGACATTGACTACCTTTTCCCTTGTGTAATCTTTAAACCTTTTAAAATACTTTTTACCTGTATAAGACATTTAAAGCAGCTCTTCAAGATTGCTTGAATAAATTCCCAAATGGCAATTATCCGTAAAGGTCTCTACAACACAACTCAAGAAATTCCTACCCTCTTACATAATCTAACCCTTACAAAAGGTGCAACATTTGAGAGAATCATCATAATCATTCTAATCATCGTCATCATCATTATCATCTTCATCATCATCATAAGTCATCATTATGAGCCTTTGGATACAGTCGTCTCTCATTGGTCACCGAACCAATCGCCCTTCTCGAGCGGTGAGAGACGTCAAGCTGTAACTGCCGGCTAATACATCATGATCATGATCACCAGTAGCAGGAGCATCAATAACAGCATCATCATCTTCACAATTTGTTGCTAAAATCGTCATTATCGTAACATCCATCGTGATAATCAGCTGCTTAAAAAAGAATAGTCACAATTTGTTTCTTTTGTGGAGCAAAGGATGACATACAAGCACCTTCAAAGAAGCTGCGAGACATGGGAGTGACAATTTTCTGCTTAGGACTTGGAAAAGAATACCAAAGAGACCAACTAGGACAGATGGCAACGGATCCAGATTCCAAATTTGTTCTAACAGGAGACTATAGCGAGATCTTCGGCTGGTTACCCAAATTAAAGAAGATATGTTGTGAAGGTGAGAGTGAGTAAGCTGAAGAGCAACACAGTTGCACCGACGAAAAAATTTACTTTACCGTTTGAAACCGATTGTCCCTTTAAATTCGCAGAGAAGGAATAAAATTAGAGGAAGAGGGGTGAAAGGTTATGTCAGTGGTAGTACCATTGGCTTGAGGGCCATAGCTGTCGATTAGTCTACACGTAAAAACTCTTCCTCTCGGTAAAAAGATGCAGATCCAAACTTTCCTACAATGGACCTTAATGCACCTTGTTTACCTCCCCCCCCCCCGGAGCATGGGGCCTCCTGGCCCTCTCCTCTCCAGTTTACCGTCGCTAAGTTTATTTAGATGTTACAAAAAAGTAATACATTCCAGAGGCACTACCCAATAAAAAATGACAAATTGTGTGGATTGGTACCACTTCGGATGATTTAATCTCAAATTACCTTTAACATGGCTACTGCCTTAACTTTTTGTGGATTCCGAGGGGGGCGGGTCAGACAACTTTTCTGAACTACCGCCCCATTATTTGTTGTTCAACGGATTTTTTGATACTTGCTAGGGGTTTAAGCGAATCTGTGCCGCACCTATAAAGCGAGTTTCTAGTACCTTTAATTTAAGTTTTTTTTAGTATGTTTTTGAGCTTTTTAACAAGCAACGCCGCCATTTTTATACTATAAAAAAAAGGTTTAGGGAGAGGGAATCTTTGCTAACAGAACAGTTTCCTAACTTCTCAACCTTTTTTTTACAGCGGCTGGGGGAACATTAACAACAATTGCATCTAAAGGTATTTAGTTATAGATAAATGCAACAATTCTCTATTTTGAAAGTTTTTGTGATCTTGAAATTTACTAAATGGATTCCTTTGAGGCTCTATTTCGTTCATTTGGCTGAGGTACACCATTAAAAGAGACTTATAGACACTCCAGTGCCCTTCCATTTCTTGCAATCCATGCAGCTAGCAGTTAAGACAGTTGCTTTGCTAAATTCTAGAAAAGTTAGTTACTGAGCTTTTCTTAGGTATTGTTGCCCTCTTTAATATGGACGTTACTAACCTACTTATTTCCTTACTTATTTACACTTGCCTACATACTTCCTTAACGGCTTATTTACTTACTTACTTTCTTTACATACTTGGTATACCTATTATTGCTTATTATTACTTATTTACAACTACTTCCCTACCAACCAACTTAGTACTTACTTACTTACAGAACGACCTTTGTGGAGTAATTCTCATGTCGTGGCAGCTGTTTGGACGAAATAATTACTTACTATATGTATCTGTTCGCAGAATGCAAGGCAAAAGTTGACTTAGGATTTGTTATTGATGGCTCGGGAAGCATAGAAGATGCTGGTAAAGGGAACTTTAAAAAGGAGTTAAACTTTGTCAAAGGCATCACACAAGCCTTTGACATATCTAAAGAACAAACCCATGTAGGAATCATTGTCTATAATCAGGAAGCGAAGGTAAACTCACTTGCGAGATAAATCTGATACATTCGACTACTTAAAACTAAATCCTTTTAAAATTCATCTTGTTAAACACACTACAGTCAAACCTCTTTAATATGGACACCAAAGAGACAGAACCAATTGTCCGCTTTACAGAGGTGTCCGTATTATAGAGGTAGGGAATGCATGATTTTTGGCTTTTCTGGGACAGAACGAACTGTCCGTTATGGAGGGGTGTCCGTATTATAGAGGTGAGACTGTATATTATTTCTTTATCGCAGCACGTATTTGCATTTATCATGGACAACACTTGTTTGTAGTAATATAATTTCAGATATATACATGTATATGTACTTAATATACGGTAACTCGAACTCTGAAGTGAAACAAAAAAACAGTTCGAGTTAGCGGGGAATTCGAGTTATCCGAGTTCGAGTTATCGAATGTTCCATTATATATAAATAGTTTGTTTCTTAACAGATGTAAGGCTATGTTCTACTGGAAATGCTGTTAATAAACTTTACTATCATCATCATCATCATTATTATTATATTCGCCTTGGTTTTGCAAGGTCGATTAAACAGTAAACGTATGTATGGTGGGTTGTGAAAAGTGAGTATTTTTGATTTGTTGCACTAACTTTCCTTGTTGCGATTCGTGGTCGCTGGCATCCACACTTTAGAAATAAAAAATCTGTTATCACGGTCTGTGGAATCGATGGACGTCTGATGAGAATGACCTCTTTTACTCCGAGTGTACACCCGAGTGAATCTCCACTCTACACGGCTTAAGTTAACTCTATGGCGCGAAAATCTGCGAAAGGAGTTAACTGGAGGTACACTTGTATCTCACCAAAGGTAAAGTAGATGTTTATGCTGTGGACTAGTAACCATGGTAACAAAACGATGCTTCTCTTCTGTAGGTGATATCAGGACTCGATGAGCATTATACAAAGTCAGAAGTTCTGTCCACCATCGAAGGAATCAGTTATCCTGGCGGTAATACAAATATTGGAGCAGCCCTCACCAAAACTAAGTTGGAACTCTTAGAGAAAAGTGCTCGTGCTGGAGTTTCCAACATTGCCATCGTCATTACAGATGGCAAATCACAGGATAACATTGAGGCCCCAGCGCAACAGCTGAGGGACTCTGGTTGTACTGTGTTTGGTGTGGGAATCGGCAATAAATACGATAAGAAACAACTTCAGGCAATAGCTACGGATCCAGACTTGCAACATGTATTGGAGGCCGATTTTGATGCACTTGATTCAATTATCGACAAGATCGTAGAAATTGCTTGTAAAGGTCGGTGCTCACAATTTAGCGTTTTAGCCATTTTAGGAAGTAAACGTTTGTTTAGCAAATGCAATCCTCCTTTTTTTTAAAAAAATCGAGAATATCTGGCAATAACATGGCTTCACCCTGCATGCAAGATCTCCAATTCGCCGGGAATGGCGGGAGGCGAGGGGTCAGGCTGCACACGAGTTGCTTGCCTCGGAGAATCTTAGTATCCCCGCACTAATTTATCGCGGGTCAATTGCAGATTTCCTTCGACCCTTTATCTTCTTGCAAGTTCCAAATGGAGAGCTTGTATTTAGGCATAAGCATAAGGTAATTTTTTTTTATGGGAGGATTTCTCCCCTTTCTATATTTGTTGTTTGTACTGCTATATGTTTTCTCAAGCGCAAGATGCCTTCTGATTTTTCTTACACAGATGTAGGAGGGAAAATACAGCAACTGGGTAAGTTAGTTTTTAAAGAGTAAATAAAAATCCAAGAAAGCGCACTCCATCCATCTACATCTAATGTTGGTTTATAGAAAATTATTTTAGAATACTTTGGCATACACTGTAATTCCAAGCTCATTTAATAAAACAGTGTCATTTTTGAAGCAAAATCAGAATCAAATTCTGCGTTATTAAATTGCATAGAAATGATGAGGCTACTGATTCAGTTCTTATCCTTACACTGGTCATAACGTGACAGTAAAATTTCAGGCAAACCCTGAAACCTAATGCTAGACAGCTGTTTGCAGCTTTGCAGTGACTTTTTTCTTCTTATTTGGTTTGCTTTGCAAATGGCATAAACAGGACTTATGACTGAGTCCGGATTGAAATGTTCACGCAGACTGGTTGGGCATGTGAGGAACTGGCCTCAGGGAGTTTCAATCGCGTCTATTGAAGTTTACAAACTAATTAACTTTACACATTATTGTGAGTTGAGCCGATGAAAATCGTAGCTGTGATTGCAATATCTTTGCATTCGGACAGAGTTCTTTTCTTATCGTTTAGGTGGAGGAGGCGGTGGAAGTAGCTCAAAGCATATATCTATCAAAGGCGGAAAAAGTGGTGGCAGCTCAACTTCCGGAGGAAGTAGTTCCAAACTTATTAGCATTAATGGTGGAAGTAGTGGGAGCAGTTCTGGAGGAAGTAGTTCTGGAATTATTACAATGAAGGAAGGTGGCAGTAGTTCAAGCTCGTCGATTCGGATATCGTCTGGAAAAAAGTTGATAACCATTGGGAAGAAAATCACTTCGGGTAGTACATCGAAAGGTTCTACAAAGCAAGGAGACCCCTTGTCTATCACAGTGGACCAGGATACAGACAAGCTTGCCCAAGAAAATCTGTGGTCGGGTAGTCTACTAGGTGTGTCTTTCAATGGCAATAATATGATGATAAATAACAATAGTAGGTTTTTATAAGACTATAATCCACTCCCTCCAGTGAGGACAATAACAAAAAGAAGGACGATGAATATTATATGGTTTATGCATGATAACGACGGCTAAGAGACCAGAAAACGTCGCATTTCACGTGTCCAATGTAATACAAATGAGCTAGAACAATCGATTTTCCTCATTATTATTAATTTTGGCACATGCCAAACGCGACGTAGTTTGAATTGGGCCTAAGATGATGGTGATGGTGATGGTGACATTGAGAATGATGTTGAAAATTATTACCATAATAACTCACAAAGATGATGATAAAGAAAGAAGACGTGGATGATGCTGATAATGATAATGAAAATGATCCTTTTACCGCGGCAGGATTAGCTCAGTCGGTAGAGCGCTTGACTGCAGAGCGGGAGGTCGCGGGTTCGATTCCCGGGGCCGGACCAATACTCAGGGTCTTAAAAATAACTGAGAAATGAAGGTACTTCCTTTGCCCTGCAGGCGGCTGGACCTTCGCGTGGCTCGGATGACCACGTAAAATGGCGGTCCCGTCTCCATTAGGAGACGTAAAATATATGAGGGCCACAAGTTTATTAGCCTTTGGCTATTAAGTGCTACCCTCTTTAAATAAAGGCTATTTTTATTTTTATTTTTATCCTTTTAATGATTACTATAATAGTTACCATAACAATGAAGATGATGATGGGGATAATAATGACACTGAAGATAGTGTTGCTATTGACATGTGATGATAATAATTATTACGATACTAAATGTTACACACGTATCGTGAATGAAAGCCATGCAAAATTCCTGATAAATGATTGTATAAAAGAGCTGATAAGTTGGAATTACTTTTTGAAAAGACAACCAATCAAACAAGCAAGTTTGATAATCTCTTTCATTCTATGATTAACAGGTTCTGGAGTCTGCAGGGAGAAGGTTGACTTGGCATTTCTCATTGATGCTTCGGGAAACAAGGACTCTAATGGACAGCAAAACTTCAAAACAAGTCTAGAATTTGCCAAAGCCATTGCAAGTATGTTTGTGATAAACCAAGTGGAATCCCATATCGGATTCGTCGTAGTCTCCACTAACTCTCAAGTCGTCCTCAATTTCAAGACATATTTTGACCAAAAGAGTGTGGAGAATGCCATAGATGATATACAGTATATGGGAGGTGTTACTGACGTTGGTACCGGACTGGAACTTGTTAAGACCGAACTATTTGATTCCTCCTCTAGACAAGAAGTGCCTCGTATTTTAATTGTCGTAACATCAGGAAAATCAACTAAGGACGTCATAGCTCCTTCAAAGGCTCTTAGAGATACTGGTGTCACCGTGTTTTGTGTTGGAGTTGGAAATAATTTCAACCAAACTGAACTCGACGAAATGGCTACAGACCCCATTACTAGTCACGTGTTTTCAGCAGACGTCACTCAGATGGGACTCGTTGTAAAGGCAATTAAAGGCAAAGTCTGTCAAGGTGCGTAGCTGGCGGGAGTCTTGTGCCCAGGGTGCCACCAGCAAACGCAGGCTACTGAAAGCCCTGATCTTTGTAGAAAGAAATTCGTCCTCTTCATACTTGATTTCACAAGCAAAAAATTTTTTATAATGCACATAAATAAGTGCATATAGAGTATATTACATGACTCTAAATAATTGAGGCTTTTGAGTGCAATATTAGGGCCGTTTATACGAGAGAAAATGAGCCGCGGCTTACTCTGGCCGCGGCCTACATAAGACGCGAAAGGAACCATTTATACGAGTACGGCTTATATTAGACGCGAACTGCTCGTATAAATGGTTCACGGCCTAGTTCGCGGCCAGGTTGTACTTTTAATAAGCGTAGATTTAAAATTAAAATCGGAGAACTTACGCTTGCCGAAGTAACGCAGACATCGAGCTGTCCCGGAATCTCAAGCTCGCTGCATATGGGCAGGATTTGTTTTTCTTCTGGGGCACTCCACACATTTCTTTTTTTTTTTACATGAATCTCTATCCGCCATGTTCCACTTTGTAAATGTAAACAAAACTCATTTTCCCGCCACTGCAACGCGCATCTCTCCGCCGTAAAGGTCTGGGATATAAATGAAAACAGAGCACGCGCAGCAGTCGTTCACGGCTTCAGCAAGCCGCGGACAACGTTTCAGTGCAATTATACGAATACTTTCACGTCCAAGGTAAGCCGCGGCTTGGATAAGCCCATTCCAAAACCCCTCGGCCAGGATAAGCCGCGGCTTGTGCTGGCCTTGGGTTGAATAAGCCGTGAACATAGATTTTGTACCATTTATACGGGGTGTTCGCGTCTTATGTAAGCCGCGGCTTATTTTCTCTCGTATAAACGGCCCTATTGTGCAATCTAATGTAAGGACATATAATTGATTAGTCGGTTAGAAAATCTCATTTAAAATTTTATTTTGCTTTTTTTCTATAAGGCAACATTCGACCAGTGGCCATGTTTCCATTGAACACCCGCTACAAGGCGAGGGACGTCATTGGAGGAAATCCCCCCGGGATAACGAACCTAGTGATAACAGCGGCGGGTCCGGACGGCCACGAAGGTGGTGCGCTTTCTTTCCTTGGGATACCGGAGAGCTACATCGAGTTTCCAAATGACGGAAAACTTGATACAAAGGACTCCTTAACGATTCTCGCGTGGATTTTCCCCGAGAAGGAAGGACCAATCTTCAACTTTAAGACAGATGGATGGGGAGCGAATCTGTGGCTAGCACAATCAAGAAAGTTATTCGCTCATTTCGTGGAACGAGGCCAGCACAAAATCAGCAAAGTGGAACCGTTGCAAAGTACTAAAGTTATTCCAAATCAGTGGAATTTTGTCGGTGCCACTTACGACCACACTACTGGAGCAGCTGGTTTGTGGATAAACGGAAAGTTTGAGGATTCCAAAAACTTGGGTCATATTGAACTCGCAACCAATTATAGCATTAGAATGGGAGCTCGGGATGGGGACAAAAGAAATTATCAAGGTCGTATCTCGTGTTTGCAAGTTTACGATGTATCGTTGACGGCTGACCAGATTAATAATGCGAGAGATAATTGTAAACCTTATGAGGAAAAGTGAAGTTAATTTAATGAGATTAAGGATGGAGTAACATTCAGCATAGCATTTAAAATGAATGCCTCCTTTTGCGGAAGAGAACGCCATGTTCACTGCAGCGCCAAGTGGGCGAAAATTAAGCTCAGGAAGATCACCCTCACTTCAAGTTCGTGTGGTCGTTGTTATAATTGAAAACTGATCAGCATCAATTTAAAGTGCATGTAAAGAAGAAATACAGATGCACATTATGGCGGTTCAAAATTACCCTGGGTGGCAGAGACTTTTCTAGCGCGGTTTCCGGTTTCTGTCAAGTCTTCGGCCAACACCTAAATTTCCCGCCGCACGCGAGAAAAACCTCTAGTACCCAGAGTAGTTCATATTTGCTCCAAAATACTAGCCTGCCACGCAGGCTACCAAAATACAGTAAATGTTACAATAAAAGCTCAAACGAAAAAAAAACCACGTGTTTCAGTTAATATGTCGAATTTATCTTCCTCTCCTGTTTCCTTCTACGCAGTAAGCTTTGTCCTAGCTAAGTGAAAATTAAAATCTTTCGGTAGTGGTTGCAAGTCCCTCGATCTTACCCACCCCACAGGTGCCCCGGGGGGCCGGGCGCTTCGCTCTCCACTCGAATGGGAAAGCCTGCTAGCAGGCTAGTCATCGCAGTCAAGCTGATTAGCGTGATCATCAATTATGTAGGAATGGTAATTTTGAACTCAAGGAAACATAATGTTACTGTACTAAAAAAATAAAATATATAAGAGTGAAATTTTTCTCAGTGTTAATTAAAACGCAATCCGCAAACCAGGAGACTGAGGGCTCGCAAGATCGGCTTCGCACTTCGTGCCTGGGTCGCCCTTCGGTCACCCTTCGGGTGACGTTCGTGCGCCAGCGAAGATATGGCTTGCGGTAATTGAGGTTCAAAATGGCGAACAACAAAGTCGATCTGGTCAGATAAGAAGCGAAGAAATCGTTTACAGTAGATTCATTAAGATCCCATTGGGCTAATTAATCGTGCTAAGCGACAGGTATAGAAATTTTTCAAGGTGAGACTTTAAATGAGTAATTCATTTATTCACACGAAACTCCTCTGGGCCCGGTTGCATAAAACCTGCACTTAAGTGCTCACTTAAGTAGGTCACTTACGAATCCGCTATGAGTACACTTACGGGTGTTGCATGGAACACACTTAGCACTCTCGTAAGTTTCTGTTTTACGTGGTAACTTACGGGCTCAATTAAGGGCACACGTAACCTTGATATAGCACTTTATTAACGATTCACTCTTTTTTTTTAAGCTAACCATCGGTGAGTGTAAAGAAAGTAAAATTCGTTTCCAACACTTTTAAGTCTCTCAAAAAATGAAATTTGTATGCAAACGTTATTTTTCTTCAATATCTACTGAAAATGATTGTTCTTCTTCTTTTTTCACAAAAGTGTACATCAGAGGTTAACAAAGCGCATTAGAACGAATTATGTGAAGAAAAATACTTTTTTTCACTTCCCAGTAAAAGATCTCCAATTTAAATCATTTTTGTCACTGCTATGCCCTGGATATATCCAGGGCATTTAAATGCACGATAAAAAGGGCATTTTTTTCAAAATACGTTGTGGGCGTTAAAGACAACGTATTTGCTGTGAAAAGTGAACTCTTACGAAAATCGTAAGTGCAACCACTTAAGTGAATTCCCTAAGTGGACCACTTAAGTGATTTCATGCAACTGACTTAAGTTACGAGTGCACGTACGTGTCCCCGTAGTTGTTACGGACGTTTTATGCAACCGGGCCCTGGACCCTGTGGTACGAGCAGTCCCCGCCGCGTGTCGCCTTTTCTCGCGTGGGGTGATTTTCACGCGCGCTCGCCTTTCGCACGCTCTACTATCCCTGAGGAAAAATGGGGAACTACTCGTAGTCTACCAGAGGGAATAGGTTAGTTACTAAAACGATATCTGTTTAAGACCGCGGTTTAAGACAACCCTTACTGAACTTACTCTATAAAATTATCTGTTTAGAAATAAGTTATTTTGAGAAAAAAATATGTTCTTCTATTTTTTTCTTTGTCACCGTGCTTATGTTCACGATCGGCAATGTTTGCTAAGGTGTGTTTAAGGTTGGGCAGGTTGAAAATAGATTCACAGTAACGTGACCGGTGCTTAAAAGAATCTAAGCCGATCACGTAGGAATTCAAAATACTAAGCTTGAAACGGATCATAGGGAAAAAAAGTACACCTCAATCAGATAAATTTGTTAATGCAAAAGTATTTTTCTTTGAGGAATTTTCTCTGGATCTTTCAGATAGTACTATGTGCATTTTACCCGTAAATAGACAGATATTATTCCCCATCTTACTTTGCAGCAGTTACAGAGAGTTTGTGGTCGCATCTCTCACCGTTTCGTCCTTTTCCTTGTTTCATTTTATGGGTGTTCATTTCCCATTGTACTTTTACTAGCAAGCAGACGTTAGACAGCTTTAAGTATGAGGGCACTAACAGAATATAATAACCGTGATCAAGTCGGACAGGTCAATATGTTTCTGATATTTAATACTGTAAATTCTCTATTAAGCCCCAGGGGCTTATTTGTTTCACCCGAGAACACTCATAACAAGGTATGCAAAATGGCCTTAGGGGTTCACTCTAAAGCAAGTAATCATTTTGTGAAGGGAGAACTCGGACGTTTTCCTCTTCATCTCATTATTTATACTAGAATTTTTAAGTACTTCTTAAGATTACTTACCTTACAGAATAACCAAATTTTAAATAGCGCCCTAGAGATAAACATCCATCTAAATAATATAGGTAAGCATTCATGGTTCACTACTGTGAGACACCTATTACACTTTACTAAATTAAATGATTATACCCCAAATCTGCCACATCTTGACAACAGGACATTTCCTCACCTGGTTAGAATGTTTAAAAGAAATTTGTTTAAAGAATACTGAGAATACTGGTCGAAAAGTCTGAACAAGGATAAATTCGACTCCTCAGTTGGCAATAAATTAAGTCTGTATAGTGAAGTGAAAAACGAAGTCAGATTTGAATGTTATCTTGATTTAATAAAGGACGTTAAGACAAGAGTGGCAGTAACCAAAATGTGTATTTCTTGCCACCTATTGAATCTGAACGCCACAAGCAGATACCCAGAGTTGAGAGCCTTTGCCCCCTTTGTAATAGATCCGAAATTGGTGATGAATTGAAATGTACCCACTCATCACTTTCTCATATAAGGGGTATCTTCTTGGAGAGCCTATACTCGATAAACAGTAATTTTACGAATATGTCTTACAAGGCACTATTTTTATATATCATGTCCATGAGCGTTCAAAACATCTTAAATCTCAGTGCCTCTTATATTGAAAATATTCTAAATTGTTATGCATCCGAACTCTAATTAAACTTTCTTACCATACGAGTAGCGTAGAAGCCGTACATAGCCAAGTAATTTTTTCTTTTATGATAATATTCAATTGTTTCTTTCTTTCTTACTTAACTTTTATTTTACTTTTTGTCATTGTTATTTTTTTGGTACTGAAATCTTCTGGTCGAAGATAAAGTCAATAAAGTTGTTGTATTTATTTCAATTTTGGAGAGGGGGGTGTGGGCTTAACAGAGACGGGGGGTTAATTTAATTTAGAAAAGACGATGGTATCAATTTTCCATAAGGACCTAGCTAGAATACAAAGTGGAAAAGCTCAAGTACAAGAGGTTGGAGGTCATGCAGTCGAGGATCGAGGATCAAAAACAAACTCGAACTTCCAGTTACTGAATGAACCATCCAGGATCAGTCAACACGAAGTTTCAGAGTCGTGATTGATTGATACTGTCTACCATTTCTTAGTGCAGGATAGTGAGTGGAGGAAAGGGGGGCTAACTAACCTTCTTCCCCTGAAAAGGAAGGGCTTATTTGAGAGGAAAGGCTTAATAGAGAATTTACGTAGCTTCCCACGCAGACGCCCTTACGGGTTCGTCACGCAATCATTCCTCTCGTGGGGTAGGAACGCGCGACGAACCCCTAAGAACGTTTGCGTGGGAGGCTAGGATTTACGGTGATACTGAGGTCAAGTCGGACAGGTTAATATACTTCCGAATTAATTATGCTCGCAAGGCAGGTTGGAAGTGTGAAGCACTGAGTAGATGATGAATAACCAAAAACAGTCGCCACCCCCTAAAGAGGGGATCGAAAACAACGACAAAATCATTACTGAAGACAAGAACTACGAGTTTGACGATCTTCTAAGGCTCACCGGGAAATTTGGTCGCTATCAAGTGGCTCTTTACGCCTTCATCTGTTTGGTGTCGATTCCAACTGGCGCTCAGCTCGGCATCCCAGTTTTTTACGGTATCTCTCCTCCTTTTAACTGTAAGACCATCGCTGGAAATGGAACTTGTTCAGCGGGGAAATGCTGCTCGAGTTGCGTGAAATACGATTTCAAAGGAAGTTTCACTAGTGCAGTGTCTGAGGTAAGAACCATTTCTCTCCTTGAGGCATATCGATTTCTAGATGACATCAACTGACTATGAGTAGCTAGTTTTCCACTTGCTCACCATCGTTACCTGTCTTTTTTTGTGATAATTAACGACCTTTTTCCTGGGATGAAGCCCATGATCATAGTCATAGCCCAAAGTAAAAACTTCAATTGGTGTTTTGTATTTCCGGCAAACGTGTGAATATTCGTGAGTATCGTAACCAAAAGATGACCTGAAACGCCTAGAATTGAGAAAAAGCTGTAATTGATATTTTAGAGACAATACTGTGTTCGAGACGAAAATTTACTGATCTCTGTAATCATACTAAATTACAGCGTCCTCTACGTCCAGATTGGTCTTACTTCAAATATTTTTTAAACTTGAATCACCACCCCATTTTAAAGGCGGGTCCCTTCTTGATAACCCTGGGACCGGGAGTACGTGACTATCGTTGTGTCGTAGTATACTTTGCATAAGCCTTTCCAAAAATATCACGGAAACCCGATTACTTCCTCCCCCGCCCCTCCTCCCTCAACCTAGATGTCCACGTATTGTATTTGTGGACAAGCCCAGTTATTACCAACCATTTTTTCGCCGAAAAACGCTGGCTACGCGCGAGTCTGGGAAAAGCTTAGTCCATGACTTTTTTAAAAATGCCTTAAAGAATAGTTTTTTCCTTGCTAAGATTTTATCCTGCGGGTAGCTAATCAGAACACAGGCTTTTCTTCAACTTGCCCTTTGACGGAGCCAGCCAGTGGTGCTTGCCTGTTTCCTAATTGTTTTTTTAGTGGGATATGATATGTGATCGTCGCCATTTACGTGCCATGAGTCGAGCGGTTTATATGTTGGGCATATTAGTTGGTTCTGCTGTGTTTGGTGCTGTATCAGATCATTTTGGGCGAAAGATTGCGTTTTTTACCAGCATTGGAGTCATGGTGAGTGTATAATATCTATCCCTCAGCTTCAAGGGGGCTTTCTTATTTTGGTACGTTCCGCCAAATCAAACAGGGTGTGGTTTTCGGGGTCTTGCGTTTAATGAGGGTCTTGAACAGGGTATATTTCTGAACCGGAAGCCGTGAACGAGTTTTGAACGTTGGCGGCTCGCTGACTAGAATTTAATTCCCTGATGTCAGTTAAATAATAAAATAAAATAAATAATAATAAAAAAGATATTTCTGAGAGAGAAATAAAAAGAGACAGGGTCGTGAAAAATAGTCTTTTGTACAACATGGGTAGCGAAATGAGTTAAGGTCGGGGTTTGAAGGGTTAGGCGGCTTTCCTCTCCCAGAACTTCCAAGTTTCTCTCCCGTGGGGGAACTCCTGGGAATTCTTGGTGGGGCTGTGCAGCCCGGTTCCCCAAATCCTGACCCTTTTTCAGACCAAGAAAGGTCATTTTCCGCACCCGTTTTCAGACCAGACCTCTGAAATCCTTACCAGTTTTCAGACCTGGCCTTTAGGCAGAAATTGTCACCATTACTCAGATTAGGGCGCAAACAAAAATTTTTTTAAACCATTTCGAATTCGCATATTTCTCTTTCTTTCTTACTCATTTCGAAAACCCTACCCGATGGGACGGCACATACCTATATAGCTTATATAAGGCTCATGGGGCCCCCAAAGAGAATAAGTATTGGTTTGTTCCCGTATGAATTACGGATCCTTAAAGGTATCGAGATTTTCTGACTTACAGAAAAGGGTTTATTCTAAAAGCAAAAGTTCTTGAGGCATATCGTGAACTCAAAAGTTGTTTGACAATTTTTAACCTTTGCCGGCGTATTGCCTCATTTTCTAGGCTGTTGCTGGTGTAGTATCGGGAGTAGCTGACTGCCTGTCTCTATTCTTGTTGTTTCGTTTCATCGCTGGTGCTGGTACCATTGGCTGTATATTGGTCAAATTTGTTTACTGTGTTGAGATGGTCGCCAATACTCATCGATCATGGGTCGGTATTATAAACATGATGTTTCTCGGTATTGGAAGCTCGCTGTTGTCGTTGATGGCTTTCTTGATTCCAAACTGGCGCTATTTGATGTTGGCGGCGACAATACCAGCCTTCTTGCCTGGCGGTAAGTAAAACTATTGCGTTGCTTTGAGTAAAAAAATTTCGTTATGGTTTCCACCAAATAACAAGTGGTTTTAACGAAGAGGCCTGTCTGATGAAAGAGAGAACTCGCCACTCCGCTTTATAAAAGATGATTTAACATCCACTTAGTCTCGGAATTAAGACAATTTTGGGCAAAAGTACCCTATACTGTCTTAAAGAAACAGGGAGAACATAGAAAAAAATGTTGCAATTTTCTTAGAAAGTACTTTACTCATGTTTTACCCTGGGTGTCAGTCGTTTTTCCTCACGTGCGGCGGGAATCTTCGGTGTCGGCCGAAACCACAAACTCCGATCCACCCCTGGCCTTCCCCCTGCCAGCCACCGCTCTCCCACCAAAACCTGCGTTCCATACATCCTTGGTAATTAAAGCTAAAACAATAGTATTGGTTTTAAAATCAACCCCAAGTCGCTAACTACTCATGCACGTACGGTATACTCGCGTTAGGTGGATTCCCAGATCGCCTCGTTGGCTTATCGCAAGCAACCATTTAGACGAGGCTTATGAAGTTCTCATGAAATATGCCGAAGGAAATAAAGTCCAACCGCCTGTGGACCCCACTCATCTTAAACACTTGATTCGAGTAGTTTGGGAGAATGACGCAAGGAAAGAGACGGACAAAAAAACGTATGGGTTTTTTGATGTCGTCAAGACTCCAAGACTACGAAAAAGATCTCTGATCATGTTTTTTAACTGGTAAGACTTTACTTTAGGGTGGGGGAGGGGTTAAAACATATAATAGGTAGCTTAAGCGAAGGAGCTTTTGAGGGACGTATGTCAACTGGAAGTGAGGCCTTTCCCCTTTTAATATGCCTTGATGCAAACAAATCTGTATTGGCCGGTGTCTTTTCTCTTATAGACACGATTTGCCAGAGAATTTGAGCAAAACCACTGCCCAAGAATGCAAAACTTCTATCTCCGTGGACCGTGCATCGTTCAAGAACGCCTTTGCGTAAGCCCCTTTATGAAAAAGTACGGCTATCGTACTAAAAACCTGAGCTGAGGGGAAAGCGGGTAGCCTTGAACAGGGAATTCGCATTTGAAGGTCACCGAGTGTCAACCCTCCGCACTTCCGTTAAACCTCTCCGGATACAGACACGTTCATAATGCGGACGCCCCCATTACAGTTCTTTTGGTCCCAAAGACGCCAAACTTCGTATAATTGCTACCTCTATAATAAAAACACCTCTACAATGTGGGGGCTTACTGTCCCTTTGGTGTCTTGCTTTCTTTTGTAAGAAAGGTTCACCATAATTATTGCATCTAAGAGATAACCTTTCGAAAAGACCTCGATTCGACGCAGACCCTTTTCTACTGGTGTTCAGTTGCTCATAGTTTTGTATTGAACCATTTTTGGGTGGGTAAAGGGGATGGGTATAGTATTGGGAAAAGTGCTGAGAAACAAGGCCCTTACGTTGTAAAAATGTACAAAATGATTGGTCATTCCTCCATTCATTGCAGTATTCGGTGTTGTAGAAAGGACTTGTTTGTTAAGCTGGTTCAGTCTGTTCTTTTACGAGATACTCTTAACATCTGAGCAAATCTCTGGAATAGTTACTGTAGTTTATTACAATCTGCAGTCCTGAGTGCAGAGACTTTACCCCATTCATTAGGGTGCCGTTCTCGCTTCCCGCTGTTCCAAACTATCACGTTTTCAACTTACATAAGAACCGATCGCGAGAATGATGCCTCAGTAGGGGTGATGTTCTAACCCCATAGCCGAGATCAGTCACTTTTAAGTTTAAAAGTTGGCTTTGAGTAATTAAACAAAAATGGCTATTACACTTAATTACCCCGTACAAAAAGTTTAAGAAGGAAGCTTGACTTTTGTTCTGCAAATATTTTCCTAGGAACGTCAATGCGATTATTTACTACGGTATCAACTACAATGTCCATAACCTAGCTGGGAATCTCTACTTAAATGCTTTTATTTTGACAACGGTTGGCTTCCCTTCCGCTGCACTGAACTGTTATTGCCTAAAGAGGTGGGTATCATAGTGCGTTTGATATCATTTGTGATATGAAGGTATAAACAATTTAGTTGTGTCTACCAGTTTGTAACTGCCACTAAGCAACCAGAACAACAACAACAACTACTACTACTACTGCTGTAGTATTACGTACGCAGCGTTTAACATTTAACTTTTTGCAATAACAGGTGCGTGCTTCTACTAATGTACCTGTTCATTAATGTCAGACTTATAAAGCCTACAAGACTTGAAATCCTTTGGGATTGCTCACGCAGTCTTCAAAAAAGACTAGTACCATTAACGATCAGAAATATGTGCAAAGCGAGAAACTGAATCTCTTTGTTTACTACGTACTATTAAGTTAAAAGGATGGGTTATTGCAGGAGGATATAAAGGGGCCTCTTTTGGTTGTTGCTAGACACAAGAAAGGAGCTTATACGCCTCTAGCTTCTTGAATACTTAGCGAATCTTCAAACTACATCCGTGCAATAACCAACAGTGGTGCCAATCATCGTTCCTGTCGATTGTCGTAGGCAGCGTTCACACTTGGTGCCCGAACACGGTACAGTCAACCCCCTTTATTGCGGACACTGTAGGGCTCTCGAGTTGGTGTCCTTATTAGCGAAAGTCCATAATAGTGGTAGTTGATTTCAGTGAAACATCTGTAATTTGTTTTGGCCGGAGATTTAGCAACTGTCCGTGTTATCGGGGTGTCCGTTATAACGAGGTGTCCGCAAGGCGAGAGTTGACTGTACTCACTGGGTAGTAATGTGAACACACTTATTTTTCAAGTACCCACTCTAGATTTCGGGCACTGTACCCAGGCACTGGTTCCCGGGAACCAAGTGTGGACAGTCCTTTAGTCAAGGTGACTCACCACAGTGATTTGCCTATTAGGTTTGGTCGCCGTCTAACTTACAGCACGTTCATGATGTGTTGTGGAGTGACCTGTCTTGTGGCTCTTTCAGTAAAAGGTGAGCCTTTGATGGTATCTTATATCAAAGCACAGTGCATTTTAAGTTCAGAACATCTGCGAGCAGAGGCGAACAGATCATAGGAGGAAACCCAAAAACAATTACATTTTTGAACAATCCTGGAATTTAGTTTAGTGGCAAAATGCAACGCTAGTTTCATTAAAAGGATCAACCAGTTAAAAAGTGATATACAATCCCTTCGATGTAAGAATTTCAGTCTCAAACAAGTGTAAGGTTTGATAGGGGAGGTGTGGTAAATGCCTGGGGGAGGGACACGCTTGGAATTGACTGAGTCATAAAGTTCGTGATGTTTTTAAGACCTCTTTAGTGCACTGTGGTAATAACCACATAATGTCATTTACTTAACTGTCATTATGTAGATTATCCAGTGGTGCTCGTCGTACTTGTGATGTCTGCAAAATTTTGCATCTCCATTTCCTTCTCGGCGATCTACTTGTACACGGCAGAACTTTACCCAACAGTCATAAGGTAAATGAGGAAGGCTTGGCGATTTAGTGTGTTACTAAATTCGGGCTTCGAGTTCGAGCATTTCCGGCATTGCGTAGTTTCCTGAGACAAAAAAAGATTGCTTCATGGCATTACCTCCAATACACCCAGGTATCCTACGCTAAGCTAGCATCCCTTCCAGGGGTGGTGGAAGGGGAAGTATAGCAATACTAGCGGCTTCTTTATTCCGATATAATCCCCGGCATAAGAGGGTCGAAGAGGGGCTTTGGATTAGCCTGGTATGGGACCGTTTAGGGGTCATCATTAAAGCTATTATTTTTACATCTACACAATTTTGCCCCAGGAAATGATTGACCAAACGTCACGGAAAACTTATGTGAAACAGCACGAAGAAACATTTAGTGGCAGATAAGATCCCTTTCCGCCAAACTACAAAATGAATGGGTTACTTATCATGGCCTTAGTGTTACCTCCGGAGGATCGCAGGTGGAAGGGAATTAGTAGCTGATTCGTAATCGAAGTTTTACTGGAAAAATGAACGTGTAGCTGTGAAAAACACAACTCCACCTCCCCTTCCCTCTCCTCTAAACCCAAAGAAAATTAAGGCGAAATTGATAGAGGGTAATATATTCCGGAGGTCGTCTAAGGCTACCTTGAACCAGTACTATCCAGCCAGGAAAAGCAAGTAGGAGGTACGCTAGAGACTTAAAATATCTCCTGGTAGTATTCTTTTATTTATCACTATCATTATTATTCATATTAATTTTTTTTAGAAACAATGGAGTGGGATCTTGTGGAACTGTTGCCCGAATTGGCGGAATTGTTGCACCTTATATCGTTTTACTGGTTTGTATATTTACATTACTCACAATTTATGCTACTTTTTTGATGTATTGAAGCTAAGATTAATTTGTCTTGGATTAAATGCTCTTTGATATCCCTCCCGTGGTACATACATAAAAAAATCAATACAAGTTTGTAAAGGCGTTACTCTTCGTCCAGGCCCTTACCTCGGTTAAACCAATAAGTTAGAGTTATCCTCTTTTACTTCTGTTAACGATATGTATTTATCATTGCTACATATAGCACTGCGCAGTGTTACTATTTACAGATCGAAAACTCGGATGAACTTTGTGAAATTAACGTAAAAGCGACTTCCTCACTTTTAATTGACGTGTATCATAAAGATGACATGTTAGCCTATGAAATTCAAAATGACAGAAGTCAGACAAAAATTGCAAATAAGTCACACTGACGTTATTCCTGCGCTGCGTTATTTACCCACTTCCTCAATTTTCCCACCCCACCCTACCGGATACCAGTAAGACTCCCCCACACTAGATTAAGTAACAATACTAAATTTTAATTTCCTTATTTGATAGTCCGATCTCCCAAATCTGATGAAAACATTTCCTTTGTTGATATTTGGAGTAATGGCGGTAGCCGCTGGTGTTATGGCGTTTTGGTTACCAGAAACTCTAACGTCTCAAATACCACAGACCGTCGAGCAAGCAGAGACATGGGAAGAGGATTATAACATCTACTGTTGCAAAAAGCCTGTGATCCAGTCCACTCGCGGGTTCGCTACGGCAGAAGACGAAACAGAAACTTCCATATAATAGAGAAAGTGTACTTTCTGTTCGATGACACTGTTCAGTGGCACGAAGCATACTACAGCATAGTAAAGGGAAGGCTGCACTTAATGAAGACACTCTACACACTCATCTTCCTATATGTTCTGTACATAAAAAACCCTCTAATTTGCAGACATTGGCATCAGTGTCTACCTTAAACAGGTTTCACTTTCTTGAATCGAGTATAAAACACTCATATTACACTTATGCAACAATTTCTGATCACTTTGGAAGAAAAAAATCATTCTTCATGAGCATTGGATTTCTACTAAGCATCTTCTTTTTCCCCTTTATACAGTGATAATTAGACTACCTAGGAAACACATCCTCTTTTTTGCTCTCGTTCCAAGTTTCTCGAACTCAGAACTCGTCGTGGAAACGCCTTGCTACGCAGGCTAAGAGATAATAAATCAATCTTTATATGAAAGACTACTATATAGACAGAAGAGCTTATACGTGACTTTAAGCAGCAAAAAGTGGGTTAAATACAGTAAAAACCGGCGACTAAGAACCTGGTTTTAAGAACCTGCTAAGTTAAAAGTATGCCAAAAAAGTGTTGTTTTAACGAGATTGAAACTGATTCTAAGGGTAGAAAATGGCTCATACAATTTAAATAAGACGTAAGATGGTCTTATAGGCTTTATTTTTCTGTATTTCGTTTTCTGTTGTGTTGGGTATTGTATATTTTAACATAGAATGGCGGACCGCCCAAAAAAGCAATGATAACTAGCAAATAACCGAATCATAGGTGGAAACGAAATCATTGCTGTAGCATGAGACTAAAACAGATAAGGTTCTGGTTTGCTTCTAAACACCAGTTTTTTTAAAGCGTTTACCTAACTACTTCCCTAATTTGTCGGTCAATCATGATTTCTGTCCTTCAGTTTAACGTTCCGTTTCTAAGCTACCTCTTCGGCATTTACTCGATGCTGCTGCTATCCTTGATTAATTGTATGCGGTACCGAAGTCGCTTTAAACGCAAACCTGGTTTGCTTACCTCTCCTCTCTTTTACACCGAGACCAGCAAGCTTAAGTCAGCAGTTTACTCCCAACAGAAGAATTTTTACCTGCATATCATTTGTGCTGAATGCACAGAGAAAACTATCTCCATGAAGGAGGATTTGATCGATACCTTTGTACCTCCATTTATTCGCGAATCGGCAAATAGAGCAGCATATAAGACCCTCACATAAATCTCTCGTCTTCCTCGAGATTAATCACTAAAACGCTCTGGATCGAGACCTTGATGAATACTTCCACAAGCAAATAAAGACGTCTAGAAAATAAAAAAGCAATTACTAAACGCTCACTTCGTTCATAATCTGCTTGCTTTCAGGAAATTTATTCGAAATCTCTTGATCTCGTCAACCTACGTTTTACGTGATGTCATCGCAAAGGAGTGAATATCCCGGATAATAAGAAAACCAATCGACTGCGCATGTTTCTGATCTTACATCCGACAAAGTGTGACTTTTTCCTGCTATTGTAGAGAATAGTGTGTTGGCTCGCATAAGGCTTGCCAGTCATAAAAAGTGTACTAATTTAGCTATTCTTTCCGGTTCAGGATAGCCAACGCCTTGATCTTCTATGGACTGAACTACAATATCAGGAACCTGGCTGGGAAAATGTACCTTCATTTCTTTACACTGTTTGTTATTGACTTCCCAGCTATTGCTGTATCTTGCTATTGCTTGCAAGGGGTGAGAAATAACTACCACAAAACTGCCGGTTCGAAAAATTGAGAAGCCATAAGTTGAAAGGAAAATCACCCGACGTTTGTGTGAAGATGAACCTTGCATTACGATGATTTGGAGATGTGGGAAACGTTATTTGAAAAACCGATCGAAGCTACTATTTTACATTTTATTAAAGAATTGCCGAACTGTTGAAGTTGGTCGATTGAAATTGCTAAGTTTAGCCACAATCGGCGACAAAATTGTTGAGACAGTACTTCGGAGAACAAAACAATCTCAGTGTACCCCTCCCCTCTCCCCTCGATTCAAAGTTGGGGTGTTTGCTGTTTTTCACAGGTAGCTCGTACAGCGGCATATCATCGCCTTCAGGGGGTGGGTGAGGGAAAGTTTCATTTAACCTTTTTAAAGGTGGTAAATTGTTGCAAAGGCTCTTTAAGCAAAAGCGTCTAAAATTACGTTTTGTCGCCGATTATCTATATTATAGAGGTACAGCGTTGTAGCAACTAACAGAAGAGAGCAAGATGGACAGAGAAAGGTGCAAAAGAGATACAGGCCCGAATCCATTTTAGAGTATACACTGAAGTTTCTTTTGTGTGCCTCACAAAAAATGTTAGAATAGAGCAATACTTCTCCCGATATTGAATGACTTTTTCGCCTTTCTACGACCCTGGGAGAAGAAACCAGTGCGAGAGGCCCCTCTCGAACTCTGAAGAGGTCCACAATACCTGGGTGTCTGCCTCTTCCTCACATTATCCATCTCATCTCCTTATATGAAGTCGTGGAGTGTGTTAATTTTGTTGTAATTTTAATTTGTGTTGAGCAGATTTGGTCGACGTTTGACTTACTCCTCCTTCATGACATTTTGCGGTGTCGCCTGTCTTTCGGCTGAGGCAATCCCGAGTAGTGATGGTAGGATGATACCTAGTCTGATTAGTTAATGACAATAGAAATTACGGTTCCCCGATTGCAGTCAACTCTCTGTTATCGTAAACGTACTTCTAGAGTTAGTCTCTATATTAACTCATTCGTCTTTCACTTAAGCCTTTGCTTTCTTAACAGTTTGGAGCATTAGCTTGCACTACGGGTACGATTCATTGATCTGTTATAGAATGAATGTTTGCCGCATTTCTTTTCCGCTCCAGTCTTGAACAAGTGTTGAATAATGTTGAGTTTAAATTTTCAGAATACCAAGTCGCCGTTGTCATTTTCGTGATGGTTGCAAAGTTTTTCGTAATTTCTACCTTCACCTCTGTCAGTGTGTATGCGGCTGAGCTTTATCCGACTGTAATAAGGTATGGACTCTCACAGTCTAACAAGCTAGTTGCCTTTCTAATGATCAGTTGAAAGTCAATGTTCCCCTTTTCGCGCCCCATTCGAGTAATCGTACACTCCATTTCTCACTTTTCCCTTCCCTTTCGAGCCACGCATAGTACCTGCGACATTGATCTTTACCCGGTTGGTCGCCCCATAAAAGGTAACACACATTCCGGAATCGGGGAAATTTTGCTCGTGTAATCTGGAATCCTGGGCTTTGGAAACTGGAATCCACAAAGTGGAATCCAGAATCCAAGACTGCCTTGGATTACATTATATGGGGCGAGGCTCGATTATTACGTTACATTTGGCTTGAAATATTACGAATAAGAGAGAAGCAGGTGTGACGTTTATGTTAACGCTACCAGCTTTGGGGACAAACGGCGGGAATAAGCGCTAAGTGTTGAGAAACTCTTAAGAGAAGACGAGGAAGACTACGCCGTGGTAATCCCGTAGTTAAGAACACGTTTGCCCCTCTAGATTTGGAGATCCCTCCACATCAGCGTTCGGAGCTTAAGAATACCCTAGCCTGCGCGCAGACGAATATTAAACTCTGGTTAACTAATCAGAGTTTAGTTATCGTCTGCACGCAGGCTAGAATACCCCTGCGTAACACTAAACTGATTAAACGCTAACGCAGCGGGAATTCTCAACTAGTTATGTTAGCATCTCGCTTTAAATGTATATTCAAATTCCCATTTTTCTGGACTGCGAGCAGTCTCTTAATTTCTTCAAAGTCGCTCGGGACGCACCATGTCTGAGAACTCGACGGATCTTAAGAGAAAAGACGGACTGCTCGCAGTCTACCATTTTTCAGGTAATTTGAATTTTTTTTAGCTTTTTTCCATCTATGAACGTTTTTGAAAACTAGGTTATATTCGCGACTGACAATACTTGGAGATATTATTTAAATATCCTTCAGGTGGTTCTGTGTTATGGCTTTGTCGTTAGTAACGCTTCTTCATTGCTTAAAACATTATGTTATTTACGTCTTGATAGGAACAACGGTGTAGGATTGCGCTCAATGGTTGCTCGGGCTGGAGGAATAGTTTCTCCATATGTCGTCCTTTTGGTAATTTTTTTTTCAGTATTCTCTCTTCTATAATATTTACTTTGCCTTAACCTGATAGCGATCGCTTTGATATTTAGTTATTTTAAACCTTTTCAGGCCAACCTTCCAAATTTGGGCAAAACATTCCCGTTACTTATATTTGGTGTAGTGGGCATGGCTGCTGGTATTTTGGCGTTTTGGTTACCAAAAACTTTAACAGCAGAGATGCCACAGACAGTGGAGCAAGCAGAGGCATGGGACGAGGATTACAACCTTTACTGTTGCAAAAAGCCTCAGATCCAGGGTCCACGCGGTCGTAAAGAAGTGGCAAAGGAAGGAGAAGATGCAACTTTAGCGTAGTCTAAAGACATAATTACATACTTAGAAAACCTACGTCGTTAGATTTTATTCATTTTCAGCATTGCGTAAACTTGGAAGACGTTTTGAAAACGCCGCTTACCTCAATAAAGTCTTGTTTGACTGCATGTTCTATAATGCATGTTTGAAAACTATACTAAGTATTATTTACAAGAATACTGTTGACAGTTTTACCAATGAAATAATACTGGGGGCAGATGTCAAAAATGGGAAAGAGGTTACATTTAAGCTGGCCTTGAACCTTACTAGCTTTAAAGCTGGGACTTCCTGTACACCGGAGTTTGTCAAAGTTATGAGCATATATCTACGTTTATTCTCTCACATGAAAAATTACTGCAACACTGATAGCTAGTTGTCAATGTAACTCTTGGAAGAAAACTCAGACGACTATTCAGTTTTTGTCAAATTATTTGTCTGAAGCACAATGCTAGAACCTGATCATGAAATAGTTAGGATAGTCACAATACTGGCCGAAATGTTTTGGGGCACTTTCCTTCCCAGGAGGGGTACTCAACGAAGTCTTGTACGGGGAGGCTCCACCCCGAGGTCTAATCCCTTACCCTTTAATATACCATTTTTGACGGAAAAATGTACCCCTTTGGACGTAGCCTCACCGTATAGGCAACTATAGGGAGTATCCGCGAGCTTTCCTTTCCTCTCGTCCTTTGGTGTGATACCTTGCCTACAAGCAAGTTAAAGCTTCCCAGAGAGTTTGCTTGTAGGCTATGTGGTAGAAATGTAAAGGACCCACTTTGATAGATTCGCTTGCATTTGAATTTTGAACGTTGCACAAGTTGGGTTGGAGGGTACTCCTTGATATGGATTGTAAAGTCCGTAAGCAAGCACCAAGTTTCTATTTGAAGGCGCTCGATCAACTCTTCTATAAATGAATATATTCAATGAGTGCGAGGTGAGAGTGTTGTGTGATAGAACAATATCCAAAACACGCAAACAATCACTTGATTTGCTTTCGTGACGATGTGCTAAGTAGCTAATAAGTAATTATTCAATGATTTTCAATGAAGCAAAAAGGTCGTGACATGACACCAGATATATATTGCTTGAATTTGCTTACCACATAGAATAAGCCAAAATGACTGAAATGAATGAAACAGCCGATTTTCAAGAATCTACCAAGAAAGACAAAGAAAACAAAATTTACGAGTTTGATGACCTTTTAAGGCTGACTGGAGGATTTGGCCGTTATCAGGTCGCTTTATACGCCTTCCTCTGTCTGATCTCCATTCCTACCGGAGCACAACTTCTGATTCAGGTCTTCTACGCTGCCTCGCCGCGTTTCTCTTGTGTTTCCGCGCCTAAAAATGAGACTTGCGATCCTGGAAAATGCTGCCCAAGTTGCCGAAAGTACGATTTTCAAGGTCCATTTACTAGCACTGTCTCCGAGGTATATAATTTATAATGAGTAAATTCGTTGTTTATTTGATAAGTGTTCATCGCAAAGGTAGTCTGACACATTGATAAACAGCATGTTTAACCAAAATAATGTGCATTTATTCCACCAATTTGTTGAAATACCCCTAGTGCGGCATTGGGAATGTGTTCAGTGATTACACGATATAGTGGACCCCTTTTAAAAGCTTCGGAAGTGACGAATGTTCGATCAAAGTCTCCAATGTTGTGATGTTCAATTTGGCGGTTGTCACGCAAACTCGAGTGACGATCTAAACTGCACTAAGACGGACACACTTCTATGTTTTTACTCAAAGGTGACCTTTGAAAGGGAAACTTAGTAGTAAAAGTTAACACTTATTTTTCAGTGGCATCTTCTCTGTGACCGGAGGCATCTCAAAGCAATGACTCAAGCTGTGTATATGGCAGGCTTGCTGGTTGGCGCCATTGCATTTAGCAGCATTTCTGATCACTTCGGAAGGAAAATCTCATTCTTCTTGAGCATTGGATTTCTGGTAAGCATTTTTTTTCCCTTTATAGTGATACTTAGCCTGCTTAGCACTCTCGCCATCGTTCTAAGTTTCTCGACGAACTCGTGAGGACAAGAGCAAAAGGTACGAGATTAATTTTCATAAGAAACTATTACCACCACAAAGACAGAGGAGTGTAAGGTTCCATACGTTTTATAAAAGACTGTAATTATCAAAAAGGGGTTTAAATACAGTTCGAACGTAAAAGAAATATTTCACTTATTCATTGAAGGTTAACAGTGTCCGTGTTTTGTGGATTATTTATTATTATGCGGAGAAGGGGGGAAGGGGCCCGCCTTATTTGGTAGGGGCTTAGCTTTATAAAGATGCTGGGATGAATTAAAGGTTATGAAAACCATCATCTAAGTAGCCTGTCTGCGTGCAGCAGATATAGTGAATTTCAAAAGAGGAGAAACTTTCTTGTATATCATATAAAGCGCGTGATGGCAATACAAGGTCAGAATAATCTTGCAAAGTTTTCAGATGGAACACTGCCCGAATGTTATATTATCCTGTGACACTGACTGGCGCGTTTTCATTAATTTTCTTTTGCTATGCTCCACCTTCTTGGTGGAACTTAAGGTTTTTCTTAGTAAGACTTTGGCCTCATCATAAAAAACGACTTCCTCAAAAACGTTAACAATTCTTTAGACAACGATAAAAACGTCAGCTTTTACTTATGCTTTTCTTGAACGAGAGAACCAAACTCTTGACGACGAAAACGGCAGACGGGAAAAATGTCTGGAAAATTGACGACGTGGTCATTTCTGTCGTTTTCCGTAAACGTGGAGAACGATCTTTCTTTAATCATAGCGGAGTAAGTTAACTGAGCCGACTGTCAGTTATATGAATAATATTTGCTTGGCTCTCCTGTTCTTGCTCGACAGGCGACCTTTGCAGTGGCTTCTGCTGTTGCGGACTGCCTATCGCTTTTTTCACTCTTGCGTTTTTTCGCTGGTGCTGGTACCATTGGCTGTTTATTGGTCAGATTTGTTTACTGCGCGGAAATGGTTGTTACTGTCCATCGATCGTTCGTTGGAATGATAAACATGATAAATGAATATATTCAATGAGTGCGAGGTGAGAGTGTTGTGTGATAGAACAATATCCAAAACACGCAAACAATCACTTGATTTGCTTTCGTGACGATGTGCTAAGTAGCTAATAAGTAATTATTCAATGATTTTCAATGAAGCAAAAAGGTCGTGACATGACACCAGATATATATTGCTTGAATTTGCTTACCACATAGAATAAGCCAAAATGACTGAAATGAATGAAACAGCCGATTTTCAAGAATCTACCAAGAAAGACAAAGAAAACAAAATTTACGAGTTTGATGACCTTTTAAGGCTGACTGGAGGATTTGGCCGTTATCAGGTCGCTTTATACGCCTTCCTCTGTCTGATCTCCATTCCTACCGGAGCACAACTTCTGATTCAGGTCTTCTACGCTGCCTCGCCGCGTTTCTCTTGTGTTTCCGCGCCTAAAAATGAGACTTGCGATCCTGGAAAATGCTGCCCAAGTTGCCAAAAGTACGATTTTCAAGGTCCATTTACTAGCACTGTCTCCGAGGTATATAATTTATAATGAGTAAATTCGTTGTTTATTTGATAAGTGTTCATCGCAAAGGTAGTCTGACACATTGATAAACAGCATGTTTAACCAAAATAATGTGCATTTATTCCACCAATTTGTTGAAATACCCCTAGTGCGGCATTGGGAATGTGTTCAGTGATTACACGATATAGTGGACCCCTTTTAAAAGCTTCGGAAGTGACGAATGTTCGATCAAAGTCTCCAATGTTGTGATGTTCAATTTGGCGGTTGTCACGCAAACTCGAGTGACGATCTAAACTGCACTAAGACGGACACACTTCTATGTTTTTACTCAAAGGTGACCTTTGAAAGGGAAACTTAGTAGTAAAAGTTAACACTTATTTTTCAGTGGCATCTTCTCTGTGACCGGAGGCATCTCAAAGCAATGACTCAAGCTGTGTATATGGCAGGCTTGCTGGTTGGCGCCATTGCATTTAGCAGCATTTCTGATCACTTCGGAAGGAAAATCTCATTCTTCATGAGCATTGGATTTCTGGTAAGCATTTTTTTTCCCTTTATAGTGATACTTAGCCTGCTTAGCACTCTCGCCATCGTTCTAAGTTTCTCGACGAACTCGTGAGGACAAGAGCAAAAGGTACGAGATTAATTTTCATAAGAAACTATTACCACCACAAAGACAGAGGAGTGTAAGGTTCCATACGTTTTATATAGACTGTAATTATCAAAAAGGGGTTTAAATACAGTTCGAACGTAAAAGAAATATTTCACTTATTCATTGAAGGTTAACAGTGTCCGTGTTTTGTGGATTATTTATTGTTATGCGGGGAAGGGGGGAAGGGGCCCGCCTTATTTGGTTGGGGCTTAGCTTTATAAAGATGCTGGGATGAATTAAAGGTTATGAAAACCATCATCTAAGTAGCCTGTCTGCGTGTAGCAGATATAGTGAATTTCAAAAGAGGAGAAACTTTCTTGTATATCATATAAAGCGCGTGATGGCAATACAAGGTCAGAATAATCTTGCAAAGTTTTCAGATGGAACACTGCCCGAATGTTATATTATCCTGTGACACTGACTGGCGCGTTTTCATTAATTTTCTTTTGCTATGCTCCACCTTCTTGGTGGAACTTAAGGTTTTTCTTAGTAAGACTTTGGCCTCATCATAAAAAACGACTTCCTCAAAAACGTTAACAATTCTTTAGACAACGATAAAAACGTCAGCTTTTACTTATGCTTTTCTTGAACGAGAGAACCAAACTCTTGACGACGAAAACGGCAGACGGGAAAAATGTCTGGAAAATTGACGACGTGGTCATTTCTGTCGTTTTCCGTAAACGTGGAGAACGATCTTTCTTTAATCATAGCGGAGTAAGTTAACTGAGCCGACTGTCAGTTATATGAATAATATTTGCTTGGCTCTCCTGTTCTTGCTCGACAGGCGACCTTTGCAGTGGCTTCTGCTGTTGCGGACTGCCTATCGCTTTTTTCACTCTTGCGTTTTTTCGCTGGTGCTGGTACCATTGGCTGTTTATTGGTCAGATTTGTTTACTGCGCGGAAATGGTTGTTACTGTCCATCGATCGTTCGTTGGAATGATAAACATGTTGTTTCTCAGCGTTGGAGGATGTGTTCTCGCCTTACTTGCTTACTTGATCCCAAATTGGCGACACCTCATGTTAGCTGTCTCGTTACCAAGCTTTTTGCCACTCGTCGTTTGGTGGTGAGTGATTCATTTCCTTTAGTAAAGAATAGCTGAACCATATTTCCCTATTATCTAGGCAGCGCTTAAGGTGGCTGAACACAGTTTTGCGGGCGGTCAGCGGTAGCGCGTGTTTTGAATTAGACAACAAACATGGCGGCGAAAAAAGCAATAGTACACAGAAGATGATTTCTCAAAATCTACTCATTAAAATTTTGTGATATTTGGCAGAATTTTTACTTTTATCGTATTTTAAATAATGAGAACTTTAAAATGGAAGTTGAACAGACGAATTTTGTGACGCATTTAATAATTACAGTACAATTATATTATTATTTATCTAAAAACCCCTCTGTTAAAATTTGGTGAAATAAGTTTCAAATGGTAATGATTAATTATAGTAAGCTGTGTGCAAGTTTATAAGAAAATCTAATGAGCGAATTTTATGTAAACTGAGCAAAAGTGAAATTTTAAGGTTGTATTCAATCGTTCATGTTCCCATGGAAACTACAAAAACGTCAAATTTTACCTGTCAGTCAAAATCTTTCATCAGTATATTTTTCACCTGCCAAGTTTCAGCTTGTGAGCTGCAACCTTTCTCTTGCCATAATTTGGTAAATGACCTTTACTCAGAAACTGCCAAAACTGTGTTCAGCCACCTTAATTAGCTTGCCACATGTTCAAACACTAAGAGAGAATTTCCTGCCCACCTTAGAAGCGTAAACTAGCTCTCATTTGCCATTCCTAAGTTGCCCAGAGACCAGGATCGATTTTCAGTGTGAGTCTATTCGCAGGAACGAGCGGATGGTAGCAACATCGAGTAAATGTCACAAAGGTAACTCAGGGAAGGAACATTTAAGGTGACGAGCAAAAATCATGATTGACCGCGAAAACTTAAGGAAGCAGTTTGGCAAACGCTTAAAAAAACTCGCTCGTGTTAAGAAACAAATCCGAAAGTTTTCTGTTCCATTATCATGATTATAACTTAAATTAGCCTGTTCCAGGCGTTCAGATAGTGGGGAGCGGTGCGAAGTAAAAGAAGCGCGCAAAAATAAAAGCGAGGGAGGGGGAGAGTGAGAGAGGCTACGATTTATGTTGTGGTGGGTATCATATATCACAAGATAAAGAAAGGGACTGCCCTTAGAAGCAATAACAAGCAAATAACCGAGATAAAAATGAAAAAAAAAAAACATTTACGTTTAGCCTGTTCCAAGCGTTCAGATAGCTTCCCTCTCCCCCTCCCTCGCTTTTATTTTTTCGCGCTTCTTTTACTTCGCACCGCTCCCCACTATCTGAACGCCTGGAACAGGCTACATAAATCGAAATACTGAAGACTAACTACTTACTTACATCTTACTTTAATTGTATAACCCACTTTCCCCCCATTGGAATTAGTATAAAACAAAATGACTTTCTTTTGGCATGCGGAAATTCCTTGTTTTCAGGTGGATTCCTCGCTCTCCCCGTTGGCTTATTGCTAACAACCACTTAGAAGAAGCGAACGAGGTGTTACTTAAATACGCTAAGTACAATCACGTGACTGTGGACTCTAAGCATCTCAAACACGTCATACAGGAGGTTAGGAAGAACGACGCAAGAAAGTCTGTTCACGAGAAGTACGGAATTCTTGACACCATGAAAACACCCAAGTTACGGAAGCGAAGTTTGATCATGTTCCTTAACTGGTAAGAATTAAACGCTTACTCGGTCTTACTCCTCTACCCCGGCTGAACCTTCAAGTTACTGGATACCTTGAGAGGTGTCTCACGCGCAAGCTATGTAGCGCGTTCCGTTTCAAATGCAGGTACCTAAAACCTATATCAAATTAAAGCTTATTTAATGGCTTTCTTAATAATCCAACAGTTTTTTGAAAAATTGTACTGTCAATCTTGTTTAGGATTTTTTAATGCGAGCGATCGAATCAGCTTTCGAAAGCTAAAACTCAAAGGACTGTTTATTTGTCACTGATTTGATTTGTTAATTCAAGTGTTTGGGTAGTCAAAGCCCTAAAAATGCGTGTCGCGGTTTTCCCATTTTCGAAAGTTACCAATTGAAAATAACGTTAAAAAAGAAGTTGGCTGATCGTACAAAAATGCCTGTCAACAAAAAACGTTTATGAGATAAAAAATTCCCCGACATGTTTTTGTTGCTTACACATTAAAATAACATTACCCCAAATTCTAAGTCAATCGATCAAGTTCCCTCGAAGTTATAGCTTCTTCAAGTGTCCCCTCTAAACAAAAAATATTAGTCGACAAAAAGGCGATTAAAAACAATCCCTCGCTTATTAAACCTTCTCCGCCCACAAATACTTCTCAGGAATCTGGCACAATAAGCGCTTGTATAAGATTACTTCCGTTCGATTTTTGCGCTCTCTTTTCATTTTCAAACAACTCCACTTTTCGACTTCCACTGGGATCAATAGTGAGATCACTTTTTTTCGCAAAGCTGTGGAAATGAAAGACCACAAATGCAGCCTCCGCTCGGTCGAAAACCAAACTGGCCGGTAGAAGGTTCGGCGACTTCCACTGAGCCGACTATTGACATAGAGAGAGAGTGATGATTTAACAGCGATGGGACTACTCTGAGTAGACATGAAGCACTCCACTCAGCTATATTAGAACGAATGGTCGAAACGATCTTTTTCTTGGGCTGTTATTGTCAATTGCCTATCGAAATTTGTTTGAGAAATTTCATTCCCTTCCTTCTATGATATTCGTTTTAAGAATCATGCAGTCTTAAATTATGGTTATCTGCAACGGGTTGCCTTCTTAATTACTATTTTATTTTCACTTTTTTAGCTTAAGGAAGTGGGACTTGAAAAATGCTGAATATGTTCCCGAATTTTTAAAGACCCTTTCTGCTATTTTGATTCAATTTTCCGCCTGCTGGAACCGATGGGTTCATTGAACTCCAGGTTGGATTCCCACTCCTCAGACCAGTCTTTCGAATCCTTGGAAATAAGATCCTTTATCAGACTAATCTGACGCGGAAAGGCCAACTGTCTGGTCATCGTTCATTGAGATTCCCTTTCGCCCTTCACTTTGTGCGCTATTTTGAACTTGTCCATGGACATTTTAGTTATTACTACTTTTACTTCCATCTGAAGGTATCCACTAACCTCAAAAAGGTCATTCTTGAAGTCATTTGTTGTAAGCTAATAGAAACAGAACCACCCAACGCTCGTTTAGGCCCAAATCGCCGCCAGCGTAAAAATGTTCTGTCCCGGCCTATCCTCAGCTCAGAAACAGACGTTATTATACAAAAAAGTGTACTAATTTAGCTATTTTTCCCTTTCAGGATAGCCAACGCCTTGATTTTCTATGGACTGAACTACAATGTTAGGAATCTGGCGGGGAATATGTATCTTAATTTCTTTATACTGCTTGTGGTTGACTTCCCATCTATTGCTGTATGTTGCTATTGCTTGCAAAGGTGCGAAACAGCTATCACCAAATTGCCTGTTAGAATAATAAAGTAGCCATAAGTTGAAAGGAAAATCACCCGACGTTTGTGTTAAGATGAGCCGTGCATTGCAATGATTTGAGATGTGAGAAAGGCTAATAAAAGAACGTTGTTTAAAAATCGAAGCTATTGTTTTACAGTTCATTAAAGTATTGCCGAACGTTGATGTTGGTCGATTGAAACTGCTAAGTTTAGCCANCTTAATTTCTTTATACTGCTTGTGGTTGACTTCCCATCTATTGCTGTATGTTGCTATTGCTTGCAAAGGTGCGAAACAGCTATCACCAAATTGCCTGTTAGAATAATAAAGTAGCCATAAGTTGAAAGGAAAATCACCCGACGTTTGTGTTAAGATGAGCCGTGCATTGCAATGATTTGAGATGTGAGAAAGGCTAATAAAAGAACGTTGTTTAAAAATCGAAGCTATTGTTTTACAGTTCATTAAAGTATTGCCGAACGTTGATGTTGGTCGATTGAAACTGCTAAGTTTAGCCACAATCGGCGACAAAATTGTTGAGACACTTTCCTTAAATGGGGTACTTCGGAAAATAAAAGAATCTCAGTGTACCCTTCCCTTCTCCCTTCTATTCAAATTTGGGGAGTTTGTTGTTTTTTACAGGTAGGTCCACGGCGGCACAAATACTTTGAGGGGGTAGCAAGATGGACAGAAAAAGGTGCAAAAGAGACACGGGGCCGAATTTGTTTTAGAGCATACACTGAAGTTTCGTTTGTGTGCCTCACGAAAAATGTATGTCTAAGAAGGCTAGCCATTAGAATAAAAACCTACTTTTCCTGATATTGTTTTAGACTTTTTTACACGTCTACTACTCTGGGACAGGAAACCCGTGCGAGAGGCCCCTCTTAAACTCTAAAGTGGCGCACACTATATGGGTGTCTGCCTCTCCTTACACTATCCGTCACATCTCCTTAAATCAAGTTGTAGAGTGTGTTATTTTGTTGTAATTTTAATTTCTATTGGGCAGATTTGGTCGCCGTTTGACTTACTCCTCCTACATGACATTTTGTGGTGTGGCCTGTCTTTTGGCTTTGGCAATGCCGAGCAGTGATGGTGAGATGATACATAGTCTGATTAGTTAATGATAATAGTTATCGTTGTCCGATTGCAGTCGACTCTCTCCTATCGTAAAGGTACTTCTAGAGTTAATCACTACATGAATTAATTCGTCTTTCACTTGAGCCTTTGCTTTCTTCACAGCTTTGAGCATTACCTTGGGTACGTTTCATTGATCTCCTATAGAATGAATGTTTTACAAATTCTTATATCACTGTAGAAGGGATTGTAAATTGTCTGGGGAGCCGTAGGGATTTTTATTCCTTACCATCATCATCATCATCATCATCATCATCATCATTATTATTATTGTTGTTGTTGTTGTTATTGTTAACATTATCACTATTATTATCATCATGATCATTAGAATGATCTTGAGTTTATATTTTCAGAATACCAAGTCGCCGTTGTCATTTTCGTGATGATTGCAAAGTTCTTCGTAATTTCTACCTTCAACTCTGTCTATGTGTACACGGCTGAGCTTTATCCGACTGTAATAAGGTATGGAGTCTCACAGTCTAACAAGCTAGTTCCCTTTCTAATGATCGTTTGAAAGTCAATGTTCCCTTTTTCGCGACCCATTCGAGTCCTCGCACACTCCATTTCCCACTTTTCCTTTGCCTTTTGAGCCACGCAGGTTACTTGCGACATTGATCTTTGGGATCATTATATGTTTCTGGAAAACACCACTCCCCTAAGCCAAAGTTTTTGCCATAAGTGAGAAGTAAGTGTTAATGTTGGTTTAGGGGAGGGGTAGGTGGGTAGTTTCCCAGAAAGGTACATTGATCAGATCTTTGCCCGTTGGTCTCCCCATGTAGGTAATCTAAATTCCGGAATCCGGGAAATTTTGCTCGTGTAATCTGGAACTCTATGCTCTGGAATCCGGAATCCACTGTGTGGAATCCAGAATCTAAGACTGCCTTGGATTACATTTTATGGGGCGAGGCTCGATTATTACGTTACATTTGAGATATTGAGAATAAGAGACGAGCAGGTGTGAAGTTTATGTTAATACCACTGGTTTTTGGGACAAATGGCGGGAATAAGTGTCAAGTGTTGGGAAACTCTTATGAGAAGACGAGGAAGCCTACGCCGTGGTAAACCGTAGTTAAGAACACGTTTGCCCCTCTAGATTTGGAGACCCCTCCACATGAGCGTTCGGAGCTTAAGAATACCCTTACCTAACACTAAACTGACTGAATGCTAACGAAGCCGCATCTCGCTTTAAATGTATATTCGAATTCCTATTTTTCAGGCAATTTGATTTTTTTTTTCGCTTTTTCCTATCTATGAACGTTGTTCAAAACTAGGTTGTATTAGCGACTGATAGTACTTGCAGATATTTTTTATTAGTATTCACCAAATCAGTGGATAGCAATTTTTGCGCGTTCTGATTGGCTCCCGTAACTCCCGTGTCCTTGGATATTCACTGTTTTGGGACGGGATTCAAACGGCTTCTCGTTTCGCGACAGTTTCGAAAGACCGCAGTAAATGAAGCAGCTGAACCAACAAATACCAAGAAAGAGACAAAATTTGGCTTGTCGGTGTTTACTGGCCGATGGAAAAAAATTTTCTCATTGAGTTTGCAACAAAATGATAAAAAATGATCCCCGAAACACTGTCAATTGAAACGTGCACAAACTCTAACTAAGTGACGTCGTTTATTTACAGAAAGTTCCTTTTTGATTTTTCCCAACCGATTTGGTAAATTCTAAAACAACTATCCCCCTCAGGGTCGGTTCATAGCGCTAGACATGTACCTCGACGCTTCGCATCTCAGTATATACTCCACTATTCACCTCCCCTTTGGGGGATAGTTGTATAATATCCTCTAAGGCGGTTCCGTGTTATGATTTTGTCGTTAGTAATGCTTTTCCTTGATTAAAACATTATTATTTACGTCTTCATAGGAACAACGGTGTAGGATTGTGCTCAATGATTGCCCGGATTGGAGGAATAGTTTCTCCATATGTCGTCCTTCTGGTAATAATGTATTTTCAGTATTCTCTCTTCTATAATATTTTTCTTTGCCTTAACCAGATAGCAATAGTTTTTCAGTGTGTTTTTGTTTAGTGTTCTTAGTTATTTTCTTCCTTTCCAGGCTGATCTTCCAAATTTGAGGAAAACATTCCCGCTACTTATATTTGGTGTTGTGGGCCTGGCTGCCGGTATTTTGGCGTTTTGGTTACCAGAAACTTTAACAGCACAGATGCCACAGACCGTGGAGCAAGCAGAGGCTTTGGACGAGGATTACAACCTTTACTGTTGCAAAAAGCCTCAGGTGCACGGCTCTCGCGGTCGCAAAGAGGTGGCGAAGGAAGGAGAAGATGTAACTTTAGTATAGCCTATGACTGCATTACATGACTGGAGAGGCCACGTAATCAAAGTTTTGTTCATTTTCAGCACTGCGTGTACTTGAAAGTCGTCTTGGAAAATGTTACAGAGCTCAATAAATTGTTATTTTTACAGTGAAATATACAACACATTTTTCAAAAAACTTTGTATAAGATACTTGGGAGCTTAAACAAGGGCGTTTGAGCGACACACGTCGACCGGAAGAGCGATCTTTTTCACTTAAACATAAATTGACTCTACCAAATTTGTATTTCTTAGTCTCTTTCTTGTTATAGAGACGATTTGTCCAAAAATTTGGGCAAAAATACCGCTCAAGAATGAAAAAAAGTCCACTTCCGGTTGACGTGCGTGGCTCAAAAACGTCTTTGCTTGAGTTCCCTATTATACAGTTTCGTTAATGTAAAAATTCTGGGTGCAGGTGTCAGAAATTGGAAAGAGGTTCAATTTAACGTGGCCCTGAACCTTAGGTGCTTATAGTTGGGACGCCCTATCACCGGAAGTTTGTCAAAGTTATGAGCAAATACCTAGTCCCTTACACGAAAAACTACTGCAACAACAATAGCTAGATGTCAAGTGAACTCTAGGAGGGAAATCAATATAACCCGGACAAGATGTGTATAAGCTGTGTGTGTTTTCTGAGGCCCAACGTTCTCCGTGCTCGGTAAGGTGGGGGATAGGGAATGTACTTTTGATTCGCATAAAATGCGTTTTAAGTCCAGCCTAGCAGCTGTGCTTACAACAGAACAGTTTTAGTTGATACGCTGTAGTAGAAAGGACCCTTTTGATAAATCGATAGGCTCGATTTCAGCCGCTCTCTCGGGTCCGCCCCGGGTAGGAGCGCCGGTGAACTTATTTCCCGAACATCGCGGCAGGACTGAGAATCAAGCCTAAATATTCGACAAATCTTTCGCGGGCAATTGAATTTTAAATTCTGCTGGAAAAATTTGCTCTGTTTTTTCATGGTGGCTGCCTTGAAATTTTAACTCAGTTTAAAGGCTGTTATGACAATAAAAATTGCTGTTATAATGCTAAAAAAATGAAAATTTGACATATCTACAACATTTAATCTTAGCTCCCTCAGTTAACACACCTTTGGCGGGGGTTGGGTAGTCCCTATTGTATGCGGGGATTTTCTGCTCGAAAGGTTTATGTTTTTCTGGCAGGGGGTATATGAATGGGTAGGGATTGTAGTTTAGTGCATCCATAAAGTACTTCATAGAGGAAAATGGAAATTGTATCTGTTGTTGTTAATACAGCTGATTTTTCCACGAAAAATAGATTCTTAATTTTGGATCTTGTGGGAAAAAGGAGATTGGTTTGTCACTAGAGCGAGTTTCGAATAACTGGGTGCAACGAAAAACATGCCCCTAAAGCACTCAATTCTTAAAAAGGGTTGAGTGGAGAAAATGATTGGGTATTTGCTTGATACCAAATTTTAGCATTGATTGTAATTGAGTCAATAACAAACTGCCTGGTTCTTAACTGCCCTTATTTCAATAATGCTTTTTACATAAAAAGTTATTCAAAGCTATTGTGAACCTATTTCACACGGACAACGAAGGGGCAGAGTCAAGTGTCCGCATTACAGAGGTTTCTGTATTGTAGAGGTAGGGATTTTATATGAAGTTTGTTTTGGGTGGACTGAGTGAGCTGTAGGCAATAATAAGGTTAATTCACAGCACAGATGCGCAAACCAAGTGAGGGCGTCCAAGCATTGAGGCTCACTAGTGACTATCAGTTATCAAGACGACCGTGAAAAGCAATTTCACGCAGATTGGTTTCACGACATAAACACCAACCATAGCACTGACCTGCCTAATTCTCTAAAGTTATTCGGGTCAGAGAATTTGTGATGTCAGTTCAAAGAAATTTAGCATCCTAACGGAAGACGAAATCTTTCGCTAAAATTACGAGTGAAATCTTTCCTTTTATGTCGCCATTTTTCTGTGTTTATCCTCCTTGTTTTTATCAAACCCGTTTTTCATTGGATAGGAAAAGATGATATTGTTGACACCTGTAGTCCGCTAAACTGCCAAGGTAAATTGTACACCATATAAGAATTGTTTGTACATTAGCGAGATTAAAACCAATTAACTAGATAGCTTAAAAAGTGTTGTTTTGGTTCTTGCCCAGCAGGAACAGAAAGTTTGATTTCAGTCATCTATGCCTTTCTTTTAAATTTAAATGTCAGACTATCGACTCAGTGTACTCCTCAATTACACCCAAATGACATTTACCTGTTCTTGTTGTTAAATATAGCGAATTATTTTATCTTGGATTTAGATAAGTTTCATTTTCTAGACGTCCCTGCCCTTTGCAGCAATCGATCTCGTTCGCTGTGTTTTTCTCTTAGTAGATGGGGAATGCCGTTTTTTGATTGTAGAGGCGCTGAAAATGCACAAGAAAAAAGCGGGGAAGTTTATGTTTATTCGTAACGTGTTGGTGGTCGTATTTTTTCCATCTGTTGCCCTTCTAAACAACATCTCAGCGGAGTTGAACAGTTCGTCTGTGGCAGGTAAGCTGTGGCAATAAATTTAATTTTTACTCAATCAATGTAATATTAAGTTGAAATTATAAATTGATCTAACTGCTGCAAGAGTTGGATACGAGAGATATCTCTCATAAGCTCCTTGCTTAAACAGTGCAACCGAGTAAGCGAAACGCACGGCGATAAATGCGTCGCAACAAAATTGTGAGAACTAGCTTTTAAAGACTGTCCACAACTCTCTATACGTGAAAAAAAAAAAAACTTCACTTCTTTAACTGACAAGTTAGTTATTTTATCAGTTAATTTGCAGTCATGGGAAAATATGTCTGCAGTAAGCATAGTATAAACAGCCGTCAAGTCGGAGGCGAACCGAACAGCGTTCCAGAGCGTGAACATGCACACTTGTGTCTACGTTTGCAGTTCAGGTGAAAGAGTTGGTCCCAAATCAAATTTAAGAAATGTGCCTTTGCAGTGTTTACTATTGTTAAGTTTAAGAGTTAAAAAGCTAAAAACTTTCGCGCAGAAACTTTATCAGCTCCTGCGAGTTTAGAGAGATTTAGANGTCATGGGAAAATATGTCTGCAGTAAGCATAGTATAAACAGCCGTCAAGTCGGAGGCGAACCGAACAGCGTTCCAGAGCGTGAACATGCACACTTGTGTCTACGTTTGCAGTTCAGGTGAAAGAGTTGGTCCCAAATCAAATTTAAGAAATGTGCCTTTGCAGTGTTTACTATTGTTAAGTTTAAGAGTTAAAAAGCTAAAAACTTTCGCGCAGAAACTTTATCAGCTCCTGCGAGTTTAGAGAGATTTAGAATCAAGTTTACGGCAAAAGTTAAACGGCAAACGACAAATTCATGTTGAGAAATTTTAAAATAGGAAATGAGCAGTGTAATCCCTGACAACTGGTCAGTTAAATCTCAGGAAGAAATCAGTCTGGATTGAAGTTAATATAAGTTACCTTTCCGTTGTGATTCTCTAGTACATGTCAAAAAAAAAAAAATGCTAAATTTGGTCCGTCTTTTTCACCTGATCGCAAAATTTAGTTATGAGCTCAAAAGTGAATTTAATGATGGTAATAAGACTGAGTGGAGACAGAGTCCAATTCGGGTCTATAATCATACGAGTGTCGTTTTCACCTTATTGCAACTTTCATTTGTTTAACATGCCGGCTCAAAAGTGGATTTAGGCATGTCCACACAAATCAGCACATTTTTATTTACCTGGATTCGTGTGGACGGGGCTTAAACCGCTCTGAAGGGCGGTTTCAAAACAATGCGGTATCGGTGACCGGATTGACAGGTTTCGTGTGAAGGGAGCGCCCATTCGTGGAAAATAGTTTACGGTTTCAAAAATAACCAAATTCGTGCGAACGTAGTCTTAATCTACAAAATTATAGATACTCTGCATGATGAAAATACTCACGAATTCATGAATATTTTTCCTTGTCCATTCAGAACCTGCCCAGGATTTTTCCTCCATTATAGAATCTTTGATCCCTGATGGGGAAAAAGAGCTGGTTAAGAGGCAGCAGCAAACAAAGGGTAAGTAAAACAGAACTAAAAGGAACGCGCACTCTAAGGGACAGTTGGCAACTAAGACTTTGTTCCTTTCTTTCCACCTCCATTACAACTCCCCTATTTTGTTTTTGCCCATTTTCCTTCTTCTTTATGGAACTCAAGGTTTTTGTCATAGTAACTGACTTCAATAAAGAAAAGGGCTTAGCTTAGAACCTTTTTTTATCTGAAAAATAACCTTACAGAAAGCACTCGACACACGCCGGAGTTCCACTCTAACCCCCTCAAAATGTTTTACCACCATGGCAAAATTTCTCAGTCCTCCGATTTCAACCCTAACAGCCCTCAAAAGCGCCCAATTGTACCGCTTAAAAGATCAGAGGCAAATATGTTTTACTCATAGGTCCTTGAGTCGATAGGATAAAAAGTTCTACGAGGAATATACGCCAAAACAATTTCAGACTAACCTATTCTTAGGTGCACGCACAGCTTTATACTGCGGACAGTTTTCTTTGATCCAAAGATAATGATATTCAAAATTTCCTAAATTCTAAATTACGCGCATCTCCTCTATGCAAATTGTAGCTTGGTTAATAAAGGCACATGTAAGACTACAAGGTTCGACAAGGATTATTACAAGGATTACGGTTAAAAAGAGGTTTTTGCTGATTGTATTCCCACGACTGTAGTTGAACGGCTGAACGCTATCTAATCCCCGCGCAAATAATCAAACCAGTGGGTTTTTGGTGTTTTTCTTTTCTGCTCTCAGCAAAGGTCATTGCCAGAAGTAACGGTCAAAACGCTAATGCAAGGGCCATTAAGCGCCCGGCTAGCTCAGTCGGTAGAGCATGAGACTCTTAATCTCAGGGTCGTGGGTTCGAGCCCCACGTTGGGCGCACGTTTCTTTTTTCTTCTTTTTTGTTTGGTTTAAAAGATGCTTGTTCCATGAAATTAAAATAAAGTAAATTATAAAAACAAAGACACAACACTAGACTTATTCAAAGAAATTGTTTAAAGTTTCGCTTTGACTGTGGAGCGATGTCGACCAAGATGATTTGATTCTGTTTCTCGAGCTTAGTTACGCTAACCTTCCTTTGCGTCAATTTGTAAGTGCAATGTAGCTAGATACAGTACAATAATTGGGTCAATGATTAGTGCAAAATCAGTCTTGTGATAACA